TGATGATGGGCCCCACACGACATATCGAGTTCGAGGCAAGCATTCCGACGTGAATTCTGTAAAGCCTAATTGCGTTAAACTTGGGCATATACATGATATGCCAAAGCGATGATGTGCATACAGTGCAATATATATCTTACGATCCACTGATCGTAATTCGCTTCATCCGGCACGAATAGCCCATGGCGATTTTTGCCTTTGCAGAATTGCATTCTCTATCGATCTCTTTCTCCTGCGCGTTAAGCGCCGCCGTGGTGGCCTAATGGCTAAGGTACTCGTTGCTGACCCGCAGTTCGCGGGTTCGAATCCCGGCTGCGACGGCTGCATTTCCGATGGAGGCGGAAATGTTGTAGGCCCATGTGCTCACATTTGGGTGCACGTTAAAGAACCCCAGGTGGTGTAAATTTCCGGAGCCCTCCACTATGGCGTCTCTCATAATCATATAGTGGTTTTGGGGCGTTCAACCCCACATATCAATGAATCATGTGCATTGAACTGTTTTATAATGCATGCTAGAACGTTTTGTTGACGGTAGTTTTCCAAAAATGGGGACATGCGAGTCCCCTTTCTTGGTGTACAACGAAAGCCGAAACCGAGGTCTTCGAGATAGCTCCGGCAATCGCGGAGACCAACGGCAAGAAAAACCTCCTTGAGATCATGATCATTTAGCGATTTACCTGTATGACGTAGGTGTTTGTACTTCGTAGTTAAAGTCGGAACTTACAGCCTTCAAAGCCCTGCGTGCTGTGTGGTGGCGACCACTTCAGATTATAGTTGGTCGGGGCGTGTGCGAAGTTTATCGCACGCGTCACATGTCTACTGTTGCACGACGCGCACCACAGCCAGAGGCTCTATTAAGCTTCATAATCAGTGATACCACAGTTGTCCGTCAAGGCTACTCATATCAATAACAGGAGAGCTACATTATCACACTCTCTCATGAGACCGGCTGAAGAGAACGCCACCAGAACGCTTACCCAATCGCAACGGCCTGTATCCAGCGCTCTCGCCGTTCTGCTCCGCGAAAGCTGCGGAAATCAGTAAATTTGAAGCCCTTTACGCCCGTGGCAATTCACAAAGCAACAGTAACGTCTTAAATGCGGATGGAGTGGTTCTTAAGAGAAAGGAAGAGAAAAGTGAGCCCCGTTATTGTCTGCTTCAGTGAGCGACACCGCCACAGAGCTCACAAGGGATGGGGGTGAAGAGGAATAAAAGGGTTGAAGTAAAGGTATAGAAAAGAGGAAGAAGAAGCAACAACAAACTGAGGGGATAGGAGAGACAGGAAAGATGGAAGAACGGTCATTGGAGTCCGAGGACGGGGTACACTTGCGAGAGATGTTGTCGGCGTCTGTAGATGGCGTAGAGCAGGCAGGTCCAGTAAATCAGAGCTGCGCTGTCGTCGAAGGGCGTCGGCGACAGGAGATGACGTAGGGCGAGCCCAGTCGGCCAGAGCTACGATGACGCCGAAGGTCGCAAGCGCGCGGGCGCACAACCGGTCGGCACGAAATCCAAGAAATGCGGATGCATTCTTCAGCCGGGCTATGTCAGGCATCCGATGTTGTCCACGGTGGTGTCCGCGCGCCGGCAGGTGTTATCTCTACGCTCTCACTCCCTCTTCCCATAGCATCAGTTGTGGGTACGCTGCGCTTATCCTCGCCCCTAGCAAACGGAGCAAGTGGTGGAAGAGTGTAGGTGCAGTGCGATCGCCGCTCCTTCTCTCGCAGTTCGCTCTCTCTCCTTCCTGCGCCCCACTCTCCCGTCCGCTCGCGCCTCCACTTTTGGTGCCTTTCTGCTCTTCTTTTTTGGTGCCTTTCTGCTCTTCTAACCACTACCCCCGCCCCCCCCTCTCTCGACAGTTCGCTGGCTGGGCGCCTCTCAAGAACATCCGGTAATGTGTGCTCGAGACGCTGCTGTGAAACGCCAACGCCGAGCCGAGTACGCTGGCGCCCCACTCTTTTATCCACTCGCTCCTCACCCTCGACCATTATCTGGGCGCCTCTCAGGCAGTGGCAGAAGTCGGTCTGACAGCAATACGGTACCCCTCTCGGCGCAAGAAATGTGTACACATTTCTCCGCGCTTCCCTTCGGGAAGGTCGGGGCACTTTTTTTTTTTTTTTTTTTTTTGTAGAGCGCGGACCTGTTGCCTCTTGCTCTTGTTCTCGCCGTAGTCCCGGCGAGTGAACCAGCAAGCACTTCATGGCGGTTCAGTGACGCGTCCGGCTAGCGGGAAAAAATTCGTAGCTTTTTTTCCGAGTATCGAATGCGGTAACACACATGTGATATTTTGCTCAGTTGTTGCATGCACTAGTTGCATCTGCTTTTGCAGCAAACTATGCAAGGGATTATGCAAACTATGCGTAGTTCATTATACACCTTTTTGCGCTTCAGCTGCAAAAAAAAAAAAAGGCAGATCCCACGTACGTGGCAATCGATGATATGCGAAGCATGAATGAGAAATGTCGATATATCACTTTAAAATCAGTGCAACTTTACGAGATGGAGGTAAATGATGCCATACTTGACTTCCGTGACATGATTATCACTGTTTAGATGTCGTTTACCTTCGTCATGTATTCACGTCACGTGATACCATATTTAGTACATGTGAAGCTAGCGAAACGGCCTGCGAGCACGCTATAAGCGTGGTATGTTGTCATGTTCTTAGATGACACGCGTGTAATGATCATCACGTTTGCACCAGTCATATATTTCGTCATCCATTGACGTCGCGTAACACCAAATTTGGTATATGTGGACCTAGCAGTTAGCTTTAAAAAAAGGGCTAACACGGAGCCAGTTCAAAGCGATAAGGTGCTGGCTAACTAACTTTATGAAGAGGAAAGGCTTTTTCCTCCGAAAGCGAACGGGCATGCGTCAAAACTTGCCGGAGGAGTACGAAGAAAAGCTTCACAGTTTTCAGAGGTTCGTCCTAAACTTGCGGCACAACAACGGCTATTTGCTTGGGCAAATAGGGAATGCCGATCAGACGCCTCTTTACTTCGACATGCCTGGCACCACAACCGCCAAGAAGGGATCGAAGCAAGTTCGCATGCTGACATCGGGCCACGGTAAAACAAGAGTGACGGCAATGCTCCGTTGCACGTCAGATAGGCACAAGCTTCCCCGTACCTCATATTTAAACGGAAGACGCTCCCGAAAGGAGTCATTTTCCTGAGGAGTGTGATCGTGCGGGTCAACGAGAAAAATGGGTGCGCGTTGCAATCGATGTCTTACTTTTTTTTTTCGTCGTGACAACCGAGTGCACGTTACAATCAAGGGCGCGGTAGAATCGAGTAAATACGGTAAATCATGACATTTATGACATATATGTCATGATTTTCATGTTGTGACTAGTCAAATATGTTCTTTATACAGTCACGTTATACCATACCAACTTTCGTATCGATACCTTTATCGAAACGGCCAGGAGAGCTAAAAGTCGTAGGCGGCTAGATAGATAGATACGCTCAAAGTCGCCGAAGTTCACCAAAAAATGCTTCGCATTTAAAACATAGAATACCAACTATCCCGCTGCCACACCTTCCTTCAGTATGCAAGGGAGACGTCGCAAAACTCCAGTCTGTCTATCGCCATGTCACTCAATGTCAACATAGGCGTGCGCGAGAGGCGGGGTGGTGGGAGAGATGGGTGGTGCAAAGCAAACTCCATAAATTGACATAACAGGGAAGGGGGGCACAAGTCAGCCCCATACATTGACATAATAAGGAGGGAAGGTGCTGTGACACCTCCCCCCTCGCAGAGTAACCTTGCACAAGCTTATGGGTACGAACCATCCTCTATGCTGTTACCAATCCTCCGGAACAAAAGGATCATGGCTCGACTCATGCTGCCTGATGCTGGTGAGAAAGTTCCTTCCTACCACAATGATGATTTCTACTGAATATTTTATAGCTGCCTTTGCTGTCATCTCTTGCCCATCAGAACTAAAAGTACGGCCACTCATTTTCAGGATAGAACCTGTGCTCTTCACTGTTGTTCCTGTAGACGTTCTGGCCAAATGTAGGGGGCTACGAATTAAATTCATGCTGACGAGCCAGTGACGACGATAATCCCTCTGTTAAATACCCTGCTGAAATAGAAGATTGCAGCCTTTCAATAGGTGTATCCCACAACAAAGTTATCTCGCTTTCAAAATTTTGTGTAAGTATTCTTTTAAAGGTGAAGTAGGTCTCAAAGTCAGGGTTGGCCTGCCCCACCTGCGAACATTGTCGATCAAAAAGCAAATGTTACGCATATTTGAGGTGTGGCATCAATACATATTAGGTGGTGTGTTCTTTTACTAGAAAATACATAGATGCATCATTTCCTAGTTTCTTATGCTACACTGAAAATGCAACGCTATACTAAAAAAATCTCTCTGCAGACATTATGGTGCTGCCACTTGGCAGTGGCCCTGGGTTTAGCACAAGCTCATCTTTTCAGACCCCACTGCCAGATGGCGTCCATCTCACGCATCTCCACATCTCACGCAGATGAGGCCAGGACTAGAGTAGTACGACCGACAGAAGACGTCGTCGTTCGACAACATTTGCAGTGAAGTACACAGATACAGGGTAAATTTTTTCCTTTCCTATGAGTACGGGCAACCGGAGCACATCCTGGAGCTGCTGGCTACACTGCTGCTCTGTGCAACGGAGGGGTGCAGTGGCATGGTGCAGCGACGTAACCACAGTGATGTGTCTAATCCCCCATGAAACTAGACTCACCTGGAGCTCTGCGTCCGCGTTAGCTTGAGTTTTCAACGCTGTGCTTGCATCAAACACGTGCCTCTTGATTATGTGTCCATACAGCAAAGGGCAGTCCTGGATATCAGATTCGCGAACGCTCTACCAGATGGGTTTATTCAAGGGCCCATGCACTACTCTAATTGACAAGGATATAGCAAGACTGCCATTGGCTACAGAAAACCATGTGATTAACTGCACAGTTTTTTGATCACTTCTTGAATGAAGCATTCAAACAAAAACACAAGCCACAAATACGAGTAAGATAAACATTTATTTTACTGGTTATGCAGACACATATAGTTCATTTATGAGTAAACACACAGGACATGGCTATACTAATAATTACACCTAAAACTTATGCAAAAGTGCCAACATATGTATGGAGAACTGTACAGGTGTGGTCTATCTTGCCACAATGCACACAAATATAAATAAAAAAAACGGCAATGTTGCCCGTACCAATGTGATGGTAGTATCGATACAGTTTTCTACAGTGAAAAAAGGACAACATGGCTGTCACATGTGTAGCGTAGCGTCTTTTTCGCGTCCAACACGACGTTCGCGCTATGCAAGCAGCGTCCAACTTGATGCAATGGCGTCCCTCTTGCACGAACACCACGTTAGACATAACCACCTTTGTCCTTCATCAAATTATAAATGTCATTGCACCAGCAGTCTTTTTACATCAACATTATGTACAGGAATAAAAAAAACCAGCAACAAAGAAATGAAATCAACAAACGAGACGAGAAATATAGCTATAAATATGTGTCTCTGTCCTCCCCCCGCCCAAACATTTCTGAGCGATCTGGCGCAGTCACCGAGAATTATTGGATCCGGCAACAAATTGGGTGTTTGCTGATCCCAGCACAAGAAACACAGTGTCAGACACTTGATATTTGCCCCAAGTCACCCGCTTCTCCAATGGCCACGAGACAATATTCGGGAGAGCTGACACTCCTAGCTACGTGAGCAAGCAGACGCACACACACTGACAAAAGCTTGACCTCTTGACCCCTTAAGATGTTTGAATGCACTTTATGCTTAGCAAACTGTAAAGACACCAGAGAGCTTGACAAGCTTCAAGACTCTCGTCATTGATAAGCTTCACCGAAGTGGACCTGCTCACGCTGGTGCCGACGAACAGAGTAGCTTGAACGCTTCATCAAAGAATTTCACGTGAAGAAATAATTTAACACAATGTCATCCGTGTAACAAACTGGACAAAACAAAATTGTCACAGCTAAGACATACGCAAGCATCTTGCATAACAATTGAAGTTACAGTTTCTAAACAAACAATAAAAGCAAAAAAGGGGGAACCTGATGACGGTCCACACAACGATGACCAAGAATAAATGTACAGTAGAGAGAGAAGTCACTATAGGGTGAGATGGTGTTAAAGGCGTAAAAAATTTATAAAAAAAAGCTCCGCTAAAAACTTATAGCCCTTTATCAGCTATGTTAGATCATCTCAAACGCCATGCAATTATTGCCTTTTTTTTATGCTATGAGCACTTGTGGCTCACCACGACTTGATCCTATAACGAAGACACCAGTAAAGGCCTGATTCACTTGGTCCCGCTACCGCAGGATTTGGGGGGCGAGTGATGGCATAGTAATGTTATTCATGCAGTGGAGTGAAAGGAACACTGCTTAGGCTAGTCGGAGCCTTGGGAACATGTATGTGACATTGCTGTCTGTAGGACCACCGACCTCTCATGAATGGCTCGATGCAAAAGGGCACAGATGAAATAAGAAAAGAAGCCTTTGGGGGATACCAAGTTGGTTACTTCAGAGTACAGCAGGCTAGAGAGTCACGAGTTGATCATTGGCACAGCATAACGTCTTGTGACTTTCTCCGCAGCTGGTCTATTGGTGCAATGAAACGAACTTGACTGAAACGCAAAAATGCTAAAAGGTTCAAACGAAGTTCGTAGACGAAAAATTCTTGCTGAAATTGTAACACACGTTTGACTGATATGCCCCGACAGGTGATGAATCAAAGTTGCATGGTTTTGTCCTGAGAACATCGGACCAAAAGTACTCGATGGGCACAAACTACGTAACAGATGACGGGCCGCTTAACCCCCTGAAACGCGAGCTAAATACAACGCAGCACGATAAATGTGGCACAGAAATGCACAAATAATTTAAATGAGAAACCCACTGTGCAACTGGGCACTGCTTAACCACTTAAGATCACCAACGACAATCCACTGCACCATGCTGATCCCTGAAAGTAGTCCGTCTGTGCTGACAGACAAGCGGGGAGCCTAACTTCACAATAGCGAAGACGCAACGAGCCTCTTGATACTGATCGTGTAAACATCCCATTTGGATTTCACAAGAAATGACAATTCCTCTGTTTGGATTGCAATGAGCCTCTGTAAACACTGAAAATTCAAGAACAGAGCAACAACTGGATGTGTCGGCAAATTACATAATAACCTGCATCATATAAATGCCATCAGTGCTGCAAAAGAATGATTGCATGGCAATCAACTGGAAGATGAATAAATACTTCATGCCACCTGGAGACAAACATTTTCCATGACATAGTTAGCTTGAGAAGTTTAGTGTATGGCAGTAAAATGCTTCCTTTCTTCAGAAATAGCATGTCAAATCAAGTTTGAGTAAGAATGCACTGGAGCTCTGCCCGGCTTCAGCTGTTGAAAACATGAACATACATTACAGTCCACTTACGGAGCACATCGAAGTGGTCACAAAAGCTGAGGACATTGCATCGACAGACACTTGAAGTGTGAACTGTGCATACGTCGGTGCATTATCTCTGGACCATTGCGATAACTTATCTCAATTACAGACAATGATATAGTAAGATGCCCTCTTAAATGAAGAAATACCTGTAACACAGTACAACATCAAATCCAAAGATTCACGCGAGTCTGCAGAAATGGAGGTCACGATTTGGCTAGTCTTGAGAAGTTCTGACACCCGCACGGTACAGACAGAACAGATAAGCATATCGATCAATAATGGCTGAACGTGGTCACAAACCAAGTTCGCGCGAGTGCGGGAATAAGCGCATGAACACAAGATTGATATGCATCGCGAAAGCCGCATTGACGGAACTGAAAAAAAAAAAAGTGACTCCCGAGATTATGAACACTGATTTCCAAGCATGTTTAACACTGTGATTTCCAAGCATGTCTTTTGATGCATGAAAACATAGTGACCACAATTTAAGCATAATTTTAGGAAAAGCATTTTCTCGGTCTAGATACCAGAATATAAATCACACAAAAAACAGAAATATTGCAGATTAGAAGCACGCAAGTATTCAGAATACTCTAAAAATGAATAAGATACTAACCAATTTGATTGGCTCTAAATCACAGTCTCTATCAGTAAACATAAATAAGGACCCATAGTTGATTCTATTGGCTTCTGACAATATTCAATTCCCATGTGACAGCTTATAAGAATTCTCTATTTGTACAGCTTCATAGTCAGATACAACATTCAAAGGCAGTGCCGGTCATTCTGCGAAAGTGAATGAAATGAGCTGGCCACCTGGTGACCTTACAGTTACGCACGTTGTAGTTGCACTGTAGTTGCACTAAAAAAATCTGTAGTTGCACTAAAGCTGGGTCACCCCTTCCTTATCAAGTTGCATCTGATTACAAATGTACTCAGATATTGATAAGTATGAATGCGAGCACTGGGCATGCTATTGACACTTCGCCAAGCTCTGCCATCCTGTGATGGCACTGCGCCATGGAGCTTCTTTCAGGAAATAAATAAATAAAAAAAGTTACGTCTGGAGCGTCATTTTCAACACGACACCAGGCACTTCATGGAGCCCACACTTTCACAAAAAGAAACGAAAACGGTTGTGGCATGAGCGGAGTACTATGTGACGCAATTCCAACACCACGCTACGCGTGCGACATTGCCGCGGCAGTTCTCTGGAACTCGAAAACTCAACAACGCGATGAGTGAGTGCGAATTGTGGTCATTGTAGAAACTTGCAAATCTTTTCAATCGTGCCGTCAGCAGGCATGGCGGTGTTTTGACAAAATCCGACGTTAGTGACCGTCTCCACGAATGAACCGGTCGTGACCTGCACGTACATGTCCGTATTGCAGCATTATTTTCTGCTCTTACGTACCATGTGAGGAGGTGCAACTCGGCAAGACCACCGAGCCGAAACAAGCCGACACGCAGCTCGAGAATGTTTCGCAAGCTTGCAAACATGTTTGTGCAAAAGGCTACCTGACATGCAGACGTTGCCAATCATTCTTGGTCCCGAACGACTCCCAACTAACACATTCCTTGGCAGCCTTTACAGAGTAGCTCTTGCTTCACTTGTATCGAGGCTCATACAGAAACGTGGCACTATTTTGCATGGTATGCTTACAACCATGCGTGCAGAAGCACAAACCAACAAAGTGCAATTCACACTTAATGCATGCAAATAGCTGAAATGGAGCCCTTGATTCTCATAGAATATGAATGGGACCATCGTAGCATCAATTAGCCAGTCAAATCTCATAACAAGATTTCAAGTGGGAAAAAAAAAATGTCTCCCTAAATCCGCTTACACGAGCATCTTGAGCATGTTTGCGAAGCACTAACATTGGCGACAAGATTATGTGGAATAATTCGTAACATCAGTGCTGTGGTTGAGATACGACAGCGTTCTCATTATGGCAGATAAGAAGGAGCCTCTACATTAGACTCTCCAGGTGAGATAATATTATCCGTACATTGTCTTGAAACACGAAGAGCACATTTTACAAGCAAGAAAATGCGGCTCCCTTTCAACTGCTGGTGACCCTTATCTGAAAAACTAGACGACTAAAAATTTCGGATCCTTATTACTCCTATAAGTTTCCAACTCTGCAGCTGATACGGGCGCAGGCGGGGCACATCGGACGTTGCGACTACCAGGCAATGTAGATACCAGAATTCACAACCCATCCGCAGGAGCACTTGAAGAAAAAACAAAAAAGATTGGGACAACTCGAAACAGCTTGCTAATGCGGTGAGATATGCAACGGCTGTCATGAGACGCATGAGCAAGTCGACTGAGTGGGGAGAGGGTTTTCTTGACGATGACTGATGACCATTTAAAGCAGGTGCGTGGTCAGTCGTCCCTCGCCACAATGTGGCTGACAACGAATTTAGGTACGAGCCCTGCCGGGTCTTGTCTCTCTTCACTGGGTGAAAGTCGCTCGTGACGAATGCGAAGGACAATGCGCAATAGCAACGGGAGAGACGACAGTTGTCGAGGCGTGGTGTTATGATGAGCACGGCAACTCAATGGGCCGCGGTGAGCTGGGTGGTGACGATGAGCAGGCCGGTTGAGCGACGGTGACCATGGCGATACTCGACAGCACAGGCGCACCTGCGAGACAGCGCATGCACATCAGGAACACTTCCTGGCTTCAGCCTGCCTTGAGCCAAACGGTGATACGGTAAGGGCTCGTTTGCACCAGATACCAGCAGCGGTCACGCGACCAGTTTGCGACTGGCATCCAAAATGTGACCGATGTTTGCACTTGCGTTGCAACTGCAGTAGCGTGGCTGAAAAATTCAGCAGCGAGCGAATGAGCCAAAGTAATTGCATTGTAGCCAAAATGACGATTGGTGACTAACTGGGTCACACGACCAATGCCAGTCGCAGATGTGAAAAAGCCGTAAAACTCATAACAATCGAGTCGCATTCAACTCAAAGGTTCTTATAATTCTCTAAGTTATTCATTCATACATTCAAACCCCTGCTGCGACGTACTCGAATAGCCAACTGTAAGACAGCCTAACCCCCCACCCACCCCATTTTACTAACAATTATCAGGGGCATTGCAAAAACTTTCTAAGAGCACATTGGATTAGAAAAAAAGCGGAACAATAATCAGCCTGACAAGACGACAATAAAAACATTTAACTCACATGATTCCTTTTTCTTGGCACGCTTGCGCCGCCGGTCTATGACGGCTACTTCTGCTTTCAGCTGCAAGTAGACCTTGCGGAGCTCGGTCATCCGGTCCTGAAGGACTGTTATCCGCTTTTCGGCGTCCATGTTGTCATCTGCCATCGAAAAAACTTTTTTCACTCGTCAGCTCAATCGAAGCCCAGATGAACAAGCGCTGTGCTTAAAGGGATATTTCAGTTGAGCACAACTTGGTGCACATAAATACGTATGAGTATTCTTATTGTCATTACCTTAACAGTCAGAGGCTCATCTCAAAAGAGAAAGCAAAGGTAAACATTCACCCTCTTAATTTCATGCTGAAACTCTAATACTGGTTCCTGTGCGACATTGTGGATTTTGCAACTTTCATCTCCTGGCCACATTCCTGAACCCAGTTTAATGTGACATGTTTGCTTACAGCCCAATGTAAACAATTTTAGCCAATACAGAAAAGCATACAGGCAGACATAGTCAAAATCTATGAACTTAAGTTGTGCTGGTGAGGGAACTTCCAATGCAGCGCTGCCATCGAACTTGGCCTTTTACATCTCCTGTGCCGTTCCCCACACCCCCCCCCCAAGAGTCGTGCATTTAGTATACAGTCGAGCCCGCTTATAACGAACCTGAGCCTGACACGGCATTCGTTCGCTGTATACCGAAGTTCGTAGTAAATGAAACGCAGCTTATAAAAAAGTTGCGAGTGAAAACACAAACTTTTTTTTTGCCCAAAAGAGTCTGTGATTCATGTGTTTCGAAGAGCAGAAACAATAAGGGCAGTCTCGAGTTCATTTAAAATGGCAGGGTGCTCGTTCGCCGAGGCCCGTGGCATAAGCTGCACGAGGCACTGGCTCCAAAGTTTCGTCGTTCTTGCTTGCAATCCGATTCCTCCAAATCGCTCTCGCCACAAACTTCATTCACAATGCCCTAATCCGTGCACGGTTCCGCAGTATCGGCATCATCATCAGCCGTAATTAAACCATTGCAACAGATGTCCCACATCTCAAGGCCGAAGTCGATGATGCGCTGCCACCAATTGCTGCTGGAGTTTCTTGTTCGGAAGCTCCAGGCTTGGCATCGGGCCCGAGGTTGACGAAGTCGGCCCCGTGAAAACAGTTTCGTGCGCATGTAGCCGTCATTGCCGCCCACGAAATTTTCACCCCCTCCACAGCTGAATACCGGGACCCCCTAAGCTGCAAGTTGGCTGCCAGGTGGTCAATAGCTAAGAGCAAGCGCTCCGCAACGCGACACCTAACGCACGAATTATGCTCAAGCCAAGCAGTCACACTTTCGACGTTTTGTTGAGCGGCAGGAAAAAAGCGTGCAAGTCCTCCTGTCTGCCATCCTGACCACACATGCACACCAAGAACGAGCAAGACGCGCACATGTGACACACATGCCAGAAAGCGTGGAACAGCTATGGGCCTGTTTCTAGTCAGAAAATGAAACTACACTCGAGCCAGCGTGGCTGGCGTCGCAGGAGCAGTGGAAATGGGCGAAGGGGTTGTGATCAAGAGAGGAGAGCAGATTTGCGACAGAAGAAGGGCAAGAATTGTGATAGAGTGAAAAGAGGGGAGGATGCGGCGAGAGGGCGACTTGGAAAACCAAAACGCGCTGGAAAAAGGCAGGTTGGGTACCTTGCTTGAAAGGTTTGCCAAACGCTCAACTCGCATGTAGAAAAACTTGAACGAGAGCCTGCGCCCAAAGAAGTCAAAGGACAGCCGCCTGGATCAGTAGTGTGCGGGGCGGTGTTCATAAAATCAGCGGCCGTGGTCGAAACATCGTTTCGTTACGCCAGCAGGTTTGCGTGGCCTCACTAACTTCGATATTTCGCAATTCGTTCCGCACAAATTAACAGCCGTTTTCGTGCTTCCGCACGCGTGCGGACGACATGCTGAGCCGAGTGCAAAGTGAGCGAGAACAGGTCCCAAACACAAAACAAACTGCAAATTATCAGAGTCGGTGGGGTAGTGTATGCGCGTGCACTAGACGCAGACGATTGGATACAGTTGGTGGCTGACGTTGTTGGCAAATGGTCTGGTTACTACAGGCTGGCGACCCCGACGACAGTACCAGCGATCAAAAACAGGGTAGATGGCCGACCGGTCTTTGAAAAATCAGTGGCAGTGTGAAAACACAGGCCTCGTCTGGCGATGCGGGGTGCTCAGAGTAGTGGGGAGACAAAGGGCGGAGGAGTGCATAACAATGAACGTTCGGGGAGCGCGGCAACTAGTGGGGCGCGAAGGCAGGGTCGGCGTTTAACAATAGAAACGTATGGGCCCCTCGTCGATGCCTGATCGGTGGTCGAAAGTGGTTTTTCCGGGAAGTTGGCAGAGCGCCGACTCCGTTTGCCGTAACTGATCGGCGCTCGAAGAGATTCGCTGTAAGTGCGATTTTGTGTCATTGAACCAATGTATGTTTTTGCGGTCACGCAAATATAGTTCGTTTTAAGCGATAGTTCGTTTTAACTGGGGCTGTTACATATGGGCTCGACTGTAGTGCAAAGTAATCTTTAGGCTAGTGCAAATATGTGAGCACTTTAAACATTTAAACAAACACAGTGGAGCTTCGATTATACATCCTCTGGTTTCGCGGCGGCTCGCATTTCACGACGAATCGGTTTGGTCCTGGCAAAATCCCCGTAGAAAATAATGTATTAAAAAACCTCGATCATACGAGGCAGTTTTACACAAGACCCCGGATTCTACGACTTTTAAAACCCATCATAAGGAAAAAAAGAGCACCTTCACTCAAGTCAAACGTCGACCAAATATTCACGAATGGAAAATATGAACTTGTGTTACCCTAGGTTGACAATTGGAAAAATAAGGAGTAAGATAGGATGCCTTCTTAGAATGGAAAATTTATTCTGCTAGAAGTTCACGTGCATCTACATAGGCCTCAATCACGTGCGTATATATCTGCGGTTGTTACCTAGTCAAGCTCTATTCCCTCAGAGTAGCTTCAGTAGGCCGAAAAGTGAATATTTTTGTGGTTCCGGTCTGTGGAATCTTTTCCTGGTCAACATACAGCTGATCTGCCTTCGTCGCAATCACACTCACAGGCTTGCGCATACAAAAGGGCTCGATGCAGCTGTTTGCACCATGCAAGATTACTTTCACTTTACGTGAACATTCATAATAAGAACGGGACAACACCAGTTTTACTTCACAAGGCAAGGAATTGCAACGCGCACAGATCAGTCGCGCACGAAGGCATCTTCAACAAACTTGTGGTCCGTCACCACTATGTGATTGATAGCAATAACACCGTGTCAGACTCTTCTTACGGGAGGCTGTTGGCAACGTGGTTTCAGTTTTATTTTCTCATGCAGGCAATTTCCGGACTATTTATTGGTAGAAAAATGCGCATTGGATCCGATTTTTTTTAAGTTGAGAATAAAGATTCATTCACACGTCCTTCAACTAATCCTGCCATTAGCTGCAATTGGCAAAAATATTTTAGTTTACCTTCCTTGTAGAGGCACAGGGTTATGCCGTGGGCGTATTTAGGCAGTCTGTACCTGTTTTTAGGGTAAGGTTGAGTGTCACTGCCAATAATCGTAGTTTTTCTATTATATGATGCCCGGATTATACGACAGTATTGCATGGTCCCCAGAAAGTTGTATTATCGGAATTCCACTGTATTACAGTATTCGAATTCACTTCGACACGAATCTAAAGGTTCGGGAACTTTGATATATTCGACAGGAACAAAAAAGTAGGAGTGCTCAAATATTCAATGTTCCGAACATAAATCAAAGGAAAAAAAAAAGCCTTCGATTGTGGAACATGTGCACATCTCTAAGACACTGCAAAACAATGTAACAGGAGCTTGTCTTACGCTTTTAAAACAAATGAATGAACTGCATGGCGCTGTGCTGCAGCACACTGAAGATGCCTTTTGTAATGCAGTAATTAAGCATCACACGCATCTAATGAACTGCACGATCACAAGGTGGGCAATATTTGTGTGCTTTGACAACATGCCTGACACCGAGATAGATTATGTCCATTAGGAAATGCAATGTTCACACATTGCATTTTCTTTTTTAAAGCACTTGTTTAGGGCATGTTCTGGAGGGTTGTATTCTATCAGTTATCAGAACACGAAACTATATTTATATGCTGTATAAGTGAACTGCGAAAAAAAGCTTGGTGAAAAAAGTGCTCTCATTGCCTGAGTGTGCGAGACATTAGGCTGAAAGGGAACATGAGAAAGTCATACGTGCATTAGGCATATTTATTGGAGATTATATAAAGCACGGCAAATCACTAGGAAAACAGCGTAACTATGCACCGATCGATAGTGGGCAGCTATCGCGACATATGTGATCTAACGTGTATGCGTTGGCAATGCTCTAACTTCAACTCTGAACTTTCACTCATGGGACTATATTAACCTGTCTGAATATTTGCCTCCTCAACCATATATTCCGGCCACAGCTGAACAATTGAGAAAATAAAAATAAGTGCATTAGAATCAAATATGCTCTGAATAAACTGAAAAATTTCATTCGCATGAAAAAATTTGGATATTTGCACCCTTACCCCTAATGTAACGACTAGGCTTGTGTGAACAGTGAATTTTAGGTTTGAAGCGAATTCGAAGCGAATAATGATTTTGGTAATAATTTCAAATTTAATTCGTGTAGAATATATGACATATAAAAAAAAGGCATATTAATCATGACCTAAGTTGCAAAATGTTTTTTTTTGGACACGAGGCCTCTATGCAAGAGCTTTCTTGATTTGCTTTTTCCATTCAAAGGAAGTCCGAAACAACTTTGAGAAGTAGCAGGATTCGGCTTTCAGTATGATACAAGTAATAACCTGTAAAATACGTAATATTATTATTGCAGTTGGAGTGTATAAGCCGGCAAAACAAGCTTTTAAGGTTAGGAAATCATCAATTGATTTGAGGGTAATATGTTTATTTAAAGAGACCCTGCAACAGTTTTTGGAGTAGCCATGGAATGGATTCACTGAAAAAGCTTATTGTCTTGTGAATCAACTGCCACAAACAATTTTTAGAATATGTCCAGTATGAGCACAGTCGATTTGCCACATGCTGCAATAGTATTCTCTCTTCTCGTCCGACGCAAGCACTTGAAGAAAAGCTGGGAGAGATGGCATAGGGAAAAAAAAATATGGCACGTAGGTGTTATGACGTTGAGCACTCTTTCTCTCTCTTTTATTTCTTTGAATACGCGGCTTTTCAGTACAATCGCGCATGTACGTGTAGACATGTCGCGGCCATCCACAGCGGCCCCAGTAACGACCCAGCGCCCCATGCTCAAATCAGCCAATGGCTGATGCAATGGCTGTGACGAGCGATTTTTGATGTTGTGGCGACATTTGCTGAGAGAAAAAAGCAAATTCTATTTGACATTCAGAATTTATTGTGAATTATAGGGCGCGTGCTGCGCTATAATATTTAGCTCACATGTTTTCGGTAGCCTAGACTATCGATCAGCAGCATTTGCTGACCATGCACAAAAAAATATTGCAGGGCCTCTTTAAATACGCAGTAGGATTTCGCCGCAGAGCAGATTTCCCCTGAATAGGTGCTTTCACGGCTTAGCACCCTATATTGCAAAGAAGACTCGAAACATCGGCCTTCCTGACTCCGTTATCATCGCGTCCCACCAGGAATTACCATTCTGCAAAGTTCTCGCCTATCACAGCGCGTACTAACAATTTTAAGTATTCTTTTTTTCCCTGCACTATAAACGACTGGAATAACCTCCCGCATGAAATTCTTTCATCTGACAATGTGCTGAAATCTATTGATCAAATGTTTGACTTGTAAAATTTTGTATTAATATTTTACAGTGTTTTCAAAATATTTTGTATTGTCCTGTTTATTGTTTTTACCTCGCTAAAGATTGTATAATTGTTCTAACGGCTCTGTAACACCCCCACTCCTGCTTGGGCCCATTTGTGGCCTGCAGTATTGTATAAATAAAAAAAAATATAGAAGCCATCTAAACAGGTGGTTACATGCGATATAGTATACATTTATCCGTTCATGTCAAATACTTTGAAATATTCAATAATTTGAATTCGTATCAAAGCGAATTCGAATACTCTACTATTTGTTCAAATATTCGCACAAGCCTAGTAACGTCATAATTTAAAGGTAGCCCAACCGACAGCGCAAGGTGATTTCACAGCTAGGAATGGCAACTGCACCCCAACACTGCCTATAAAGAGAAAAATGCGCAGCCACAAATTACACTGGAAGGATAAGTGCGCATACTACCTGCATAACGGCCAATATATATATTTTTAATGTTGAAAGGAGTGTTATGTGCAAAAGTATTTGCATTACGTTTCACATTTCAATTTGTAAGTACTGAAATAAGAATTGTCAGCGAAACGAAGAATCCTCACAATAATATTATTTGTTAGGGGCCTTACATAAAAAAAAAGACTATAAGGAATGCCATTGTGGAGGGCTCAGAAAATTTTGTAGCTATCTGGTGCTCTCTAATGTGCACCGACATTGCATCGTACACATGTCTGTCAGTTTCACCTCCACCGAAAATGCGACCACTGGGACCGCGATTAAACCCACACTTCAGGTCGGCAGCCAAGCATTATAGTTGCCTTACCCCCGCGGTAGATTAAAGGGCCTCTTTCGAGAGAAGAACTCACCCAGAGGCAGGTCAAAGTTGAACTTGGACGGCCGGTGGAGACTGCCCATGTTGGTACTGCCGGGAGTGGTCGCTGTGCAAGTGGTAGCCACAGACGTTGGTGTACACGAGCCGCTGTCACACGTGGACGACATTGGCAATGAGGAGTCTGAAAAAGCAAGTAAGACGAGCGTCTCGTCAAGCTCCCATTTTGCGTCAGTTTTCCTTTCCTTTAAGACAGTTGCTGTCTTTTTAAATGCCACCTTGTTTCGCAACAATCATTGTCTGTCTTCTTTGCGCAACTTTTCTTAGGGAGGGGGAGGGGACGTGCTTTTTAAAACGAACTTTCTTGTTTCTTGTTGGATGTTGATGAAAATTGACATAGACACCGAAAATGGCCTCACAGTGCTTCCACAAAAATTTCGAGGCAATAACACAAAAACCTTATGAGATACAAATTATTGTTTCATTGAACCTCAGGGAGGGGCTGGCAGATTTTTTTTATAAGCTTTTTTTTTTATCTACAAAGAATAAGTACGGATTTCCAACTGAGTTCTCTGTATGAAGGAGTGCTGTGATAGTAGGCATGACAGAATAGATTGTAATTGAATAAGGCAATATACTGAAATGATTTAAGACTTTTTTTTTATTTAAGCTGTCATTAGCATAATTAGGTACTTCTTGATTAAATAATCCATGAACATTTTTTTATAGAGAGAAGTTTATTGCATAAGAAAATTCTAAACGACTAACAGTTATGGGCAGAAAGCTGGTGGCACCGAAATTTTTTAGCAGTTTATTTAATGACAAGAGTCAGGCATATAAAAACTCGTGCCCCTGTTTCATAGATGCTCTTTTGCTACTCTAGCCCTGAAACGCATCATAATACGGCTGGTCGCGAAAACGCTAATCTACGAGGCTTTCATTGTCTCAGAACACTCATAGACGCACGCGGCGATACGAAGCAGGGCTCCAAGAACGTCTAAATTGCATCACAAAAGCTTATTGCCAGCCCTCCATATGACTGTGCAGTACGCCGTAGACAGCACAGCCGGCGTGTCATGCACTTGCCGGCGGCGTTCGGTGACGATGTGCGAAATGTGTACCTACGATGACAAAAACTGGCGCGCTCTCCGCTTGGTATCGCATTTTCGAATGCCGAAGCGCGAAACTGCTAGCCGCTGTTCCGAGCAATCCTTGGCAGTGGGGGGGGGGGGGGGTTGACGAGCTTGACAGTGGGGTCTGTTGCCTATGCGTAATATGCCCGTCCGCAGTTCCAAGGAGCTAGAGAGTGATGTGCTTCATTGCTTGCGAAGAAGCACTTTGCCAAGAGTGCTCTAGCGCGGCGTTCTTGCCCGCAAAGTTCGTCTAGCCGTCAGCGAAGTTAGGCCTAAAGACAACTCCGATGACGCACCGCGCTTGAAGACCACGCGCCCGCTCGTAGTATTCCGATCATGAATGCGCTTACAGCTTCGCTGCTTGTGAAGAAGCATGTTGTTAAGAGTGTGCTAGCGCGTCGTTTTCGCCTGCAGTCTCGCCGTAGAGTTTTGGCCTAAAGATGACTTTGATGACGCGCAGTGCTTGTAGACCGCGCGCCTGCTCCTAGTAATCTAATTGTGCATCCGCTTACAGCTCTTAACTAAGTGTAATTATATCCCAAGTGATCATCGACCGTGAAAGTGTCACAAAACAGCGATTTTTGACAAGCCATGTCCTCACAACACACAAGCAGCAGACGACGATCATCTCCCTATGTGAGCTTCAGGCCAATGGCGAGGCGAGCTGGGGCAATATAGCGGCCACAGCCAATCAGACGCCTCGAAACGACCTTCAGATATTTGCTTTTTGTGCACTTGTTTTTAAAGGAAGAAGCCAGCTGAGGCGGGAAATTTGCATACAGAAAAACGCTCTTTCTGATGGGTCCAAGAAGGCTGCTCTCGGCCGTGCCCTCACGAAGCTATAATTTTTTGAAAAGCAATGTTTTCTCGCCATTTCCAGAAATACTTTTGCTATGTATGAGGGTGAAACGAATTTTTTGAAGCACTTCTGCAGCGGTTTCAGAGTAGATATTTTGGCAATCAGAAAAAAAGGGGTTACAGAAACTGAAAAATTGATTAAAAAAAACCGATTTTGTTGCCATTTTTGCAATACCAAATCCGCTTCCCCCCTTAAAGGGACTGACAACGAAGCCTTCGGGGCATCCTTCAGATGCCAGCATAATTGACATCTGCCTTGCATACTTTTTCCTTGATTTATGGAAGAGTTGTCAATCTGGGATTTCCTTCGTGAATGTTCAACAACCTTTGTTCAAATGAATGTAAACATCAATTTCGTTGTACAGTATCCAGTTTTGATTCAGATTAATGTGATATGCCAATTAACTTTGCAACTGTCAATTTCGAAAAAGTCCTAGCTTTCTCCTGAAAAGGCACATGATATATATCTTTCATATTTCAAAAGCTACGTACTGTACAAAAAGATGAGATTATATTCGAAATAAGATACATAACTCTGCAAATTTGCTTGATATAAACAAACAAAAAAATAAAATAAATATAAAGGGCATTTAAATAAAAAGGTACATTTAAATAAATAAATAAATAAATTGGAAAGCTGTCAGAAACACTGTGGAAACGCGTGCAACACTTGCCTCGTGAATTCCGTGAAGCACGATGCGTTTTCCCTTTGGAGTCCCCACGCACAGCCGAGAGAAGTGCCTTGTGTGCCGCTTTTCTTGCCCTTTTCCCATGCCTGAGGAGGTTCTCTTCGTCCCGCGAAGCCGGCCGCTTTGTACCCGCCAGACCTTTGTGCCGCTCCGCCGAAAAAGCGCTGTCCGTTGTTCTCGACGAGGACGAGTCATCTTCGCCGCCTGCCTTGAAGCCCTCTGCTCCGTCCGCAGAACCCCGGCTGTTCTCAGAGTCTGCCGACATGGTGCTCTCTCCGTCGATGCCGTGGAAGTTATCCCCTTCCCGCCGCGGCGAGCCCGCGAGCGACGAAGAGGGGGAGTCGTTCTCGGCGCCGCCGCTGTCCTCCGGAGTCGTCGGGGGCGTGTTGTCCAGAACGGCCGCCGACGGATCTGCCCCGGACGGCCCGGCCAGCGCCGCTTCGGCGACCGAAGTGAAGATGTCCATTTTAGAAGGGCCCTGCTGTGGCGGCTGCTGCTGTTGCAAATGCGGTGGTTGCTGCGCCTGCTGCAGCTGAGGTTGGTGATGCGAGGGATGCGAATGGTGCATGTGCTGGTGATGCACGTGGTGATGGTGGTGGTGATGATGATGGTGTTGACTCTGAGCGTGGTGATGCTGGGCTTGCAACACCACGTCGTCGCCCTCCCGCGTGGGACTCGCTGGAACCTTCTCTTCGCAGAGCAAGAAGAGAGAGTCGGCCGACTCGGCCTGCGACTCGGTCGCAGATGCTGCCGTCGCCTTCATCTCTACTTCCTGGCCACACACCTCTGCCAGGGTCGAGAGATAGTCGTGATGGAACGGAGGAGAAGGGCGCGTGGGGGCAGCCTTGCGTTTCTCACGTTTTATCTTGCCAGCAAATGTCCGCTCGACGTCGCCCACCTCATCCGAGTCTTCGTATGATGCACAACTCGTCAGTTTCTTCCGCTTGCCCTTCTTGCCGGCTTCCGGATGATCTTTGTTGGCCTTGCGCATCTTACGCTTTGCCTTCTTCACGCTAGGGTCCGTCAGGTCATCACTGCCGTCAATGTTCTTCAATTTCTTCCGCTTCTTGACCACTCTCTGCTCTCCATCCCCAACCTTCCGGCACTTCTTTAAGCGCGGTGCCTTGGCAGGCGTGCCATCCGGCAACAACTGACCTTTCATCTTTTTGCGACCCTTCAGCTTAGCCTCTGCTCCGAACTTGGTCTTGGTGCCTTTGAACTTCTTGCGCTTGATCGTCCGCTTCGTGGAGTGCTCGGCGTTGTCAGTAGGGCCTACCTCGACTTCCGCAGCTGATACGACCGTCTCTCCGCAGACAGGCGGAAACTCCACGGGTTCGTCTATGTTCTTTGCACCTTCTTCTTCGATGCGGAGCATGTTGGAGTTGCTGCCGTCATCGCTGAGAGCGAGAGCCACTTTGTAGAAGTCCTGCGTGGACGCAGATTCTGACTCCTCTTTGACAAATTCAATGCGCTCCATAGAACTCGCCAGCGGATCCCTTTCCGCAATCCCTACGGGGCTGCTTGGCTCGGCGTTGTCATCATCCTCATCTTCTTCCTCCTTGGGGAGCTCTTCCTCATCTTCCTCCTCCGCATCCTTGCAGACATCAAACTCTGAGGCAGGGAGCGAGTGCTCGGCCGCGAGCAAGGCGTCCCTCTCTGGACCCTCCTTGGCGACTAGCGAAGGGGGTAGAAGAAGCACGTCACTGATGCTTTCTGCCGCGAGCTCTTCCTCCTCCTCGAGGTTGTCTTCATTCTCAATGGGCGTCGGGGAAGACGGAATTTCGGCCTCCGGTTCAACTTCTGCCTCCTCTGGTACTTCGTCTTCTTTCTCCTCATGGCTGTCTGGCTTGTTCGGCACTTCATCATGTTTCAGCCAATCAATGTGCTTTAGCACCTCTGGCTCAGGCACTGGTGGGAAGATGGTGATCACACGTGTGCCAGCGATGGTAGGAGGCTTGCTTATCTCGACAGCGGGAACGACCTCAGGCTGTTCAACTTCCTTTGGCTCTTCCACAGCAACCTCTTTTGTTTCTTCAGCAACGATGCCGTCATCCTCTGGTTTCAACGAAACGGCGGCAGCCGCGGCTACTTCGGGCTCGGTAGGCAGAGGTTGTTCTTCATCCTCCGCAGCATCCTCCAGTTTCTCGTCCTCAAAAATGACTAGGCTGCCTTCTTCCAGCAAGCTGTCCTCATCTTCGGCGATGGTAGTGTTGAGGACTTCCTCCACCTCCGTGACCTTCGCAGTTTCTTCCTCTATGTGCAATGTGGTGTCGGCCTCACTCTCCTCCTCTTCGTCGCCTCCTTCTTCAGCGACATTCTCTTGCAATGCTTCCTCCTTGTTCTGAGCTCGTGCAGCTGCGACGAAGGCGGCCAGACTCGTGGTCGAACTTTCATCGATGTCGGTGTCCTCATCGTCGCACTCCATCTTCTCCTCCACTTCCTCTGGGGCTCCTCTTTCACCAGGGGCTCATTATCCAAGGCATCCGACTTTGGCTCAGGACTCGACGGCATTGGAGCATCTTCACTGGAGTCAGTCGTTATGGCTGACGTAGTCTTTTCCAAGTCCTCCGAAGGATCACAGGGCTCAATTTTGATCGAGACGTGGCTCTTGAGAGAGATGTCGTCATCCTCGTCACCCGAGCCTTCCTCGTCGTCATCCGGACAAGGCGGCGAGTGCGTTCCCGACTTCCGCCGGCTACGGCGTCGCGGTTCTGAGCCGCTGCCGGACAGCTGGTCGGAGGCCAGGGCCTGCTCTGACCGCGAGGCACGCGTGGACATGGAGTTTGGCGAGGGCTTGCCAGGGGGTGGAGTCACGGACAGGGCCCTGCTGCGATTAGACGAAACGCTGGGTGGACGACCCCTACGCACTCCTTTCTTGCTGGAATTCGGGGACTCGGATGAGCTGGGTGTGTTGCTTGGAGTGGAAGACTGCTGGTTGCCGTTTGGTCCGGACTGCCCCTTTTGGTGAGGCTGGAAGAAGTGGGGTATTGAGTATCAATGTATGTAGTTTTTTTTTTTCTGTTAAGAATGCCATTTGACATACAGTCGGACCTCATTAATTCAAACTCGAAGGAACCTCTGCATTTTGTTTGAATTATTAAGAAGTTTAAATTATCAGAAGTTCTCAGATATATGACTGTGGGTGAGGTGATGCCATACATTATGATTAGCATTAAATTTATCAGATTTAAACATTTCTAAAGTGTTTTTAACCCCGGACTCCACGCAATGAACGGAAAACAGAGGTGTAAGGGCCACAAGTTTGTCGGCCATTTACTGCTGATCAGACCTTTTAAAGGAATCGCAAATTGCCAACTACTTCTTTGCTACAAGTATGTGCCATCAGCACAAAGCTATTTATACCAGTTGAGATGCACCTCGGCTCACCATGCGTGTCCTTCGTTTCAAACATTTGTTTTCACTAGCAAAGGCTTTTTCCTTGAAGGTCTAAGGTGCTTATTTTTAATTTTTAGGCTTTTATAAGATTATATAAGCATGAAACTTTCTAAATAGCAGTGAGAAAGCAGCAGATATTTTATGGCATGAAACAGCAAAAAGTATGATTTAAAGGAGCACTGACACCAAATTTCAAGATCGAGATGTGCCCATCATTCGATCGCTTGGTATGCATAGGTCTTCTTGGCCAAATTTGAATCGCATCCGTCGTATGGAAGATATTTTAATTTGATGTCAAACAGCGTAGAAAAGCTAAGGAAAAAAATTAAACATAGATTGCCCTGCGACATCGACACTAGTGCTACATGTTGTAGTGACACGTATCCCGAAGGATTACGGCCACTAGTGTGGGGTCGGTCTTAGCGAGCCGCAGGGCAGGCGCTAACCATCGCCATGGTGAGAACACAGTACTGCTCAAGGTCGCAACACTTTATTGACTGCGGCAACACCAAAAACGCACTACAGAGCCCGTTGCAAAGGCGCAGCGGGAAAGCAAATGGGCTTATCCACGCCACAGGCGAGAAGCACTACACAGGGTGCCGCAAGCACGTCTCCGTGGTAGAAGTGATTCCCGGAGACACCCGGATCAAAGCCCGGTTGCTCGAGCGAGGGCAAAGGCGCTCGTGTTGGCTTCAGAAAGATAAGGGTCGGCGCAGCCTGGCCACGCACTAGGACACCGTACCACCCCTCGACCTAGCATTAGAAGGGGGGGGGGGGGGGCGACACGACATAAGAGAAGTTCTAAAGAGCCCCAAAGGGAGCTGACGGACAGAATAGAAAAGTGTGCTTACCCCCGTGTCGTCCCCGGAAAAGTCTATTTCGCTCCCCGACGCGCGCGCGCGAAACCTCTCAGGAGACTTTACGCGCGGCGCCACAGTCGACATCCGCTACCGGGTGAGAGGGGTTAAGCGTCACTCCTCACTCTCCGAGCACAGAAGAGAGGAGAGTCATGTCAGGACATGACAACGCAGAACGAGGCGGCAAAGCTCGCGCAAAGGCGGCGGGCTAGCCTCGATTCCCACAGTGTTGGGTGTGATACATTCGACAAATACCATCCTGAGTGACGATACGCTAGTAACAATGACGTCGACGATCTGAGTGTGCTTGGAGTCGACTGCCGGCCATACCCTCAGTAATATGGCTCTTCTTGCTGTGTTGAAGCGTGTGTGTGATTCATCATGTTGCATCGACCGATTTGACATGCGCTCCACAGTGTGAGTACGATCATTCAGAGTGACAACACGTGCCAGAATGTCGGGGAACTGCTGTGCAGTGGCAACCCGCACGTCGAGGCGCAGAAAAAGCAGAAATTGCGCGGAGTTCCCATGCCTTTCCAAGCCACGAACCTCAACACAGCCAGTGGGTTGACTTCGTACGTGCCGATGGACAGAGGAACTGGACGCCTAAGAAGAACAACCGCATTTGCTCTCTTTACTTTGCGTCGAGCTGCTACAGGTTAAATCCTGTTTTAGCGAACGAGTTGGGTTTCACTGGCAGTACAATGCCCTTCTCGTGGTTGGGGCTAAAGGGAGAGGGGAAGAACAAGTTGGCGCTACTTAACCTAGCCGGCGGAAAACGCATGGAGGGGCGTTAGTCTACATCATCAAGACGCAGCTGGACTGACTGCACGTGCGCTCCTAGCGGAGGAGACGCCAGTGTGCGTGATGTCACCATTGTTTGTGAAAGCAGCATCAGCTGTGCAGCGGCCTCGACGTCGCCCCGAGGTAGCGTCGACAGCACTACAGTTTGGCGGGCTTTCGACCCATTTTGAACCAAGTTCGATAACGGATATATTAATCAATATTACAGATATTAATTTGTACCTCCGATGCGTTTAGGTTGCGATTCGCTACTTGAGGCCGATAGCTACTCGGCGCAAAAATGTTGACATGAGTAAATTTGATGTCGGTGCTCTTTTAACCAAATAATGGAGTTTGAATTGAGAGGCTTTTAAATACATTGAAAGAATTGAGGGCCAACCAAAAAATTGAATTTTGTTTGAAATAACCAAAAGTATTAATTATTAGAGTTTGAATTATCGCGAGTCCACTGTATCTTCTATAGAAAGCCTTCTAAACCTCTGTAGGAGCATACTTAAGATATCTAAAAATGTAAAGCAAATAGTGCAAAAAGCTGCCCAATACTGCTACCCTGATTTCGGCACCTTCTCTCGCCTTTACAAGGCTTGTCATAAGCATTTGGCATACACCAACGAAGCCAATACTGCTACCCTGATTTCGGCACCTTCTCTCGCCTTTACAAGGCTTGTCATAAGCATTTGGCATACACCAACGAAGCCAAGTTTAAGAATCTCTTATCCTATAGAGCTCAGCAAGTCTAAACTGGCTTGCAAACAACTTTTGCTTTGCCAAGCAATAACGATATCAATGCTTGGTACAAACGTCAATTACTTTATTGTTTACTCAAGGCATTCTATGCTAGACCAGCTCAGCAACCTGCATGAATGATGCAGCGATTAAAAACGAAGACATCAAATAGACTGCACGAAACGAGCATCGCCAACTGCTTCAACCGACTAACCGAGAAATCGTCGGGGTATTTTTACCCATCTGGAGTGCGAGGTATTCACTTGACAAGGCAAATAAAACATTCACACCCTGATTGTTATTCGTGTTTACTTGCTATACGAATAGTTACATCATGCATAAGTGGACCAGTTTTGATAGGTGTTTAAGTTAGCTAACAAGCAACCATACCTACACCATGAAGCTGAATTTCCCTCCCCAGCTCAAAAACCAACACCATAAAATCGCATTTCTCTAAGCGAGCAGCCACATAATTAGACAACGTGAGGTGAACTTACCGATGCATCTGCTTGCTGCTTTTCCTGAAAGCAACAGAAAATTTTACACTATAGCATAACTGTCCAGACTGTCCCAATAGTGGATTCAAATCCAGAGGATACTATACATGTATCACCATTCTATCGCATTGCCCCGTTTACTAAATATCACCAGGAGCCTGCAAGCACTTTTAAATAAGTAAAAAAAATACACATTGTTCAAACATGCACTTCACAAGTCTATGGGCCTGCACTCACAAGCTGATCTCATATGCATGCATGCCACACCCTACTGTTGACCACAGGACTAGGCCAAAAATTATATTAAGGGGAGATGCGGGTCGAAAAATCGCGTTTTTTGCGAAAATTTCCACTTTTGAGATATTGCTTCTAAAATCACTTTTGATCATTCAACTATCATTTCCCCAAAGGTCATAGCTGAATTCAAACGAGAAAGTGGTAAAAAGTCGATCTGCGCTAGTGAAGGTAGCTGCCGAAGTCGCGAATTCACGCATCCGACGGCTATTTTTGAAAATCCGCCACTCGGCAACACGATGACGTCCGCCATCGGGGTTTGTTCGGTGGTGTAGATCAAGGCTCCTTCTAGTGTACAGGCGTCCCCCTAGTTTCGTATTTTAGTGAGGAATTTCACAAAACAGTCGTTTCCAAGTCGGTTTGCAGCCAAGCTGCAGCCGCTTCGCGCATCTCTACCGGTCACATGGTACGCTACCGAGGCCGCCATTGGCTACATCTGATCGGCCTCGCTCGCTGAGCGCTTGCGACGATCGGCACTTGCCGTGCGTTTCTACGTTTTTCCGAGTTCACCATGGATAACTCGAAGAAGCGAGACTTCCGAGCACGAAAGTTTGCAAGCAAGAACAAGTACCAAGGGCGTCGACGTAAACCGAAGCGCAAAGCAGCGGTAGAAGAATGCGAGCCGCGGGCCACTAGGCCTAATCAAGGCAGCGGGGATACGGCGGCTTGCGGGAACTTTGACGAAATCGACGCCGCGATCAAGTTCATCAGCGCATCAGAAAAAAAGATTGAACAGTTCGAAAGCGAAAGAACGAAGAGTGTTTGTGGCTCTGTGAGCGGAGTATTTTGTGACATCGGCGCACTGACATCGATGGTAAGCCGTGCTGTTTGTCCAACCATAGCCTCCTATATTTTTTTGTGCCCGCGCATTAGCGCTAAATACATACGCGCCATCCGTCCCTTATAGTTTTGGCGCTCGCCGCCAGATGCCGCACCGATCCCATAATAACAGCAGACGACGCGGCCTATGCACGCTTGCGTTTATGACGGTCTAGAAACCGTCTACATTGCATTGGATTATGCGTATACGTTAAGAAGTGCGCACACACCAAATTTTTAACACAAGCACTGTATGCAGAATGCAATGTGAGCTTTGTTATTTGATTTCGCGCTCAAAGCTTGAGCACTTTTCGAGACAATGGTTTGACATGAAAATCTTTTGCCAAGTCGTGTTTGTCAGTCACACTCGTCGCGAAGTTCAGAAAAGTGGGCGGAGAAACTTCACGAGCACAACCTCCAAAAGTTTTATATGATGTCCCGGGGTCGAGCACTTGAGTTTGTCACGTTTCTGTAGTATTTGCGCGGCGTTGTCAACGGCAGCCTTCAGTGGCTGATTCATCTTTCTCGCTCTTGCGAGGAAAACTTCCGCGTAATTCTTTAGAGAATTTAGAACCATTACGAGCTCAGTTGACGGATACAGGAGTACACCTGGGTGGATATCTCCACATTCAATCAGAACATGCTCCGCCGTTTCCTTATCTTTCCCGCAGCATGTGCATTGTTCTTCTTCTTTACTGAATCTTGCTTTATAACTACGCGTTCTAAGGCAACCCGATCTCGCTTCAAACAGTAAAGCGCTTCCCCTTGAATTATCGTAAAATGCCTCCCTCCTTATTTCATTTTTGCCCTTTCGGTAGTTACTCAAAGCCGGTTTTTTCTCCATAGCTGCCATCCATTCTCTCGTTTTGCGCCTCGGCGCTCCGCCAGGAGCGCTCGCATCCCATAATAGCTCGGGGGACGGCGCTGAGGGACCGACCGCTCGGGCACAAAGTTATAGAGGAGGCTATGGTCCAACATGCCACACCGCTGGACTCGTCGTTCGCGACACCGCAAGTAAACGTAAGGGCCTCTCTTCGTTCCTCGAGCTGCACTGTGATAACAGTGAGTGTCCTGAGTCAGTGGTTTCTGCCGCGCATAGTTCGCGGCGTGTTCTGCCGGAAAGACAGCCCACCGATGCCGGTGATGACTGGAGCTACCGAAGCGGCAGCTCGCGTGACAGCTTCGCTGTCAATGTGAAGGTAGTTGTGGCTGCGCGTGCAATAGGCATTGGGCATGAACAGCTGTCGCGTTTTTGCGCTATTCTTGGACTGCCAATACCTATGCATCATAAGACTTTTATTGCAATTGGCAAAAAAGTTCATGCTGCAGCTACCAAAGCTGTGCAAGAAAACCTGGCGAAAGCGCGGATGATAACTAAAGAGAAAGTGGATGGGGCTGATGTTGCTGTCATGTATGATGGCACATGGCAAAAAAGAGGGCACAAGAGCCACAATGGCATCGGCACTGCTGTGTCTGTGGACACTGGTTTGTGCCTAGATTTTGAAGTGCTATCGAATTACTGCCTTGCCTGTAGCCGGCACCAGGACTTGGGTGATGAGGAAGAAATATGGCAAGCATTCCACACACCTGTCTGCGAAAAAAATACAGAGTGCTCCTCTCATGCCATGGAGACTGAGGCAGCTTTGCGCATATGGGGCAGGACATCCTCATACACAACACCATTGCGCTTCACCAAGTTCCTCAGTGATGGGGACAGCAAAGCTTATACCGCTGTCGCTGAGGCCAAGGTATATGGTGAAGCTGTTGTGGACAAGGAGGAGTGCACAAACCATGTGGCCAAGCGTCTAGGGCACTGCACTTCGGAAACTGCCAACAAGACTTCCACGAGGGGAAAAGCTGACAGATGGCACAATTCAGAAGCTGCAGAACTATTACCGTATTGCAATCACAAACAACAGAGGTGATATTCTGAAAATGCATCGTGCCATCTGGGCCTCATATTTCCATTCATCATCGAGCAACACAGCAGGCAGCCACCGATACTGTCCAGAAGGGGCGACTTCCTGGTGCAAGCATAGGCGAGCTGAAGCGCTTGGGGAGGCCCCACCCGACCACACACCAATCTTGACCAAGGCTCAAGGATTGGCTGTGCTTCCCATTTACAAGCGGCTCACAGATGAAAAGTTGCTGGTGCGTTGTATCCAAGGGAAGACCCAAAACGCTGCAGAATCTTTGAACAGCAAAATCTGGTTGTTGTGTCCGAAGACTAAGTTTGCCTCCCGGACAACAGTGGAAACTGCAGCTGCTATGGCCGTGTTGTGGTTCAATAAAGGACATTCAAGCTTTGAACACGTGCTAGAGGAGCTTGGTGTAGTCCCACCGGATCAACTGATCACCCTGGGCCAATCCCGCGACCAGAGGAGAATCGAAAGAATGTCTGCGTGTGAAACAGCCGAGGCAAGGGCCCATCGGCGGAATGTGGCAAAGAAAGCGCGCCTTGATGACTCCCTTCTCAAGCGGCGAGAAGGATCCACATATGGAGCAGGACAATTTTAGGTGCTCTAGCTGTGTCCCTTCTATGATATCACCAAGTTTTGTGCAAATCGCACTGTGTAATCATGAGTAAACATATTTACAACTTTCAAATGCATTTTTCTCGATTTCCATTTTGAGGTAATTCTCTCATCTTGTGCACAATCTTTTTAGGCATAAAATAGTCCTATCTTGATGAAATTTTGCACAGAGCTTAATCAGCCACTCTAGAATACAAGTATCTACTTTAGGTTGCATTATACATCACAGATTTTTTGTTACACAACTTGATACACTGATAGAGAGATGTAAAATATGCATTTAGTACTTTTAATTTTTTTTTTAATGTAGCAAATAAATTTTCTGTTTGAGGTACTTTTCTGTATTGTACTGCTCAAGTGCAGCAGAATGAGCCATTTTGCAATTCTGTGTGAAAATTTTTAGTAAGCTTTATTATGTGTACAAAAAACACTATATTTTGATATCAAAGTTGTAGTAACTCCGGAACTACTATAGCTATCAAACAAATAATTGCAGTTATGAAATCAGCACTGCAAGCTTTACTAACACCTAAAATTTCAAGGAGCTGGGTTATGAAATAAAAAAAAACCTTTTTCGAGTAGCATCTCCCCTTAATATTATCTGAGATTTTACATCTCAAAACCACCACATGATTATGAGAGACGCCTTAGTGACGTCTCTCATTATCTCAAATTTTGACGGCGTTGTTTAATGTGCGCTGACATCGCAAGATAAGCAAGCGTCTCACCATTTCACCTCCATGAAGGCTCGCAGCTGGGAACAAAACTGCGACCTTCAAGTCAGCAGCCAAGCACTCTCGCCCCTACTCCACCGGAACGAATTCCACCGGAAATAGAGCTTGCTATTCACTCACATATAATTTTTCTATTGCCCCGCAGCATGCTGCGAGTTTATTATTTTCATACAAAGCACTCATCTGCAGTAAGGCCTTGATACCAAAAAGTAGCTTGATACCAAAGTAACAGCAGCCACTGTATGCCTAGAGGGCTGTTTTGTTGATACACTTTGAAGCACACTCGTGCAGGCAAAAGACAGAGCACTGATTTGTTAATTCAATTCAGACGACAGTGTCAACTATTCAGACAAAATGCCCTTAATAGCAATGCAGTCACAACAAGCTTCCACACAACTAAAACCGGAAGTAAAAAAAAACTGCTGCAATCAAGCGTACCAAGCTCACCTTCTGGAGGCGTTTCCTTCTCGATGTCTTGTCTGTGACATTCTCTACAATGCGGTTCTTCCTGACCCACTCGTCATACCTAAAATGAACAAATGTGGGTATGTTGCGTTTCAGTAAACATTCCGTCTAAATATAGTTCATTAGTCTAAACTTAATTATATCGCTTTGACCACGCCTTTGAATCAAATGCTTAAATGCATAGTCAGGAATGCGCCACTACGGCAACCGCAGAAAAGAAACAAGAGCCTTCTCACGGACGTGAGGCCGACCTTACCGCATGTTCCAGCCCGTGTAGTGGACATAAAACTTCTTCTCGCTGCACTCCTCCTCGATGCGTAGCACCTTAGCCTCGTAGATCTTGAGCTGCCGGCCACGCCCGTACTTGACCTTGACCCGGTCGCCCACGTCAATGCTCATGTCCAGGGAGCACCGGCGCGTCGGCTCCCCACTCTCCGGCCGGGGAAGAGACTCCGGCTTGGTTTCCGGCTCAGCGGCGGCTGCCGAAGTGCTGGCTCTGCAACAAGACGACCCGAAGGCCACAGGGGTCACTGAGGATACGTCTTCGAACGATGTTTTGCTCTGGTCCAGATCAAGCTGATGAATAGACTGACCCAACTAAGACAGCAGTGACAAGCAGCATAAGAAAAGTTCATTAGGTCTGACAACTTTTGGTATCCGTGTTCAGTACATCAAGACTTGACTGCATGCCATTTTGTACAAAGCTTGCCGTTTACTTTTTCCTGAATTACCTATTCAGAACATACAATTCGGTAATCACACCTCTTTAGTTACCAAAACCTAAACAAACAGTTGCCAAGTAGGGTATAGAACACTTGGAATTCAAGTTGCAGGAGTCCCGAATATCTGCACTGAACCAAAACAACCTTTTTCAAAGGCCGCAGTTGTGCAAAATGTGTTCAGCATGCAGCTTTGCGTGTCTGATAATTGACGCATGCGATGCTCGATGCTACAACCACTTAAATTTTTGAATGTTCAAAAATTTAATGGCCAAAGAGCTGTGTTGCAATGAATTGAACACAAAAAACAATAAAAGCATTGTCAAAGAAATTCCCTGACTACCTGTCATCATACCACCTCTATTATGCCCATCACACAGAAACTATATTGAGTCACGTCCATAATACCACGCGCAGAACAGTACCGATCGTTCAATTTCGATTATTAGTAAAGCTTGATAATGACACCGCTTTTCCCAACAGGATATCTGAAGTGGCCGGAGCTGCCCTAGTGCACTGCAGCTGCGTCGGCGCCAGTGCACAGGCTCATTCATTGCCGAGCAACCGCACTCCTCTCTTACTCAGTGAGCGCGCACAGCGTGCGAGTCTTTTTTCCCCCATGTCCTTTTCCTTCTCTCGCCCTTTGTTCATTGACTCCGCGTCCGCTCCTCCTCCGTAACGACTTCGACGCTCGCTCCCCAGCGGCATACCCAGCCAACCCAGCCCATCTCCTTTCAGACATGCACTTCTGCTGCGTTTGTCACAAAGATTTTCCAGCCACCGTGCTACAACCAGTCTTTCACCTTGGGGCCCTGCACAGTGAGTGGAGGGTGGATGGGAGTCAGGAAAAAAAAAAAAAAAAAGAAAACGCATCGCAACCGGTGCTGCACTGTAAGTACTTATGTTAAAAGTGGTCTACACTGTAATAGGTTAACTATAGATCAAATCGCACGCTGGACCGGTATCCGCCAGCTTGAATGTGAACACACAGGCTTTTGCAGCCGCACGACGTAGCCCACGGTAAGAATGCGGAAGTTCAAAGCGACTCACTTCTCGTCAGCCTTTTCCTTCTCGGGTGGTTCTTCCGTCTTGTTCTTTTTTGGCTGAGGAGAAAAAAATAAGAGAGCTGCTACAGTTGGGACAACACATATACAGCAAAAGCGCGTTGATTCGGATTTTACGGTACCAGAAAAAAATATGTCTAATTAGCCGAATTCATGAGCATCAAGGCACCAAAAACAAAGATGTCTTTTACGTCAGTACACTTTAATTTGCATGATGAATGTGGAAATCATACACATAAAACGCGATATAATGAAACCTATAATAAAATTCGGGTTATAACAAAGTGAATGAAAAATAGTCTTGTATTACAGTGTTCGGAATATACTTTTATAACGAGTTTTTGGATATAAAAACTTGTTTTCGTCTAATATGCAACTTTATTATAATGAGGTTTGAGTACTTATTCTGCATAAGAGGAGTGTAAAAGCCACAATTTTTGCCGCTCGCGACTATTTGCAATGTGACTGCAGCTCAAGACTTCCCTCTACTAACTAGACCAAAATTAACCCTGCACATTGTCACCGACGTTATCGTATATTTCCCGCTGATGGTGATGGTCACATAGATTGTACTGCCTCGTTTCGGTGAGAATGCCGGGGAATTCAGTTTTCGCATTTTGCCTGACAGGTTCGCAGCACTTGGAGCTCAGGATGTTTTCCAAAAGCATCTAAATTAACGAGGATGTGGCTAAATATGACGAAATTAACAAAAGTTTCATGCCGCTGAACAATACAAAGGCTTGCTGGGACCAGAGAACATGTCAAAATCATGTGATTTTCTGTATTACCGGGTGTCAGATTAACAAGCTCTAACTGCGACACTGTTGCAGCGAGAACAGTGCTGCTGCACTCAAACCTCATTATAACTAACCCGGATATAACAAAATATTGGTTATAACGAAGTAAATGAAAAATTGTCTTGAAATAGACATAGCGTAGATCTTTATACAAACTTTCGGATATACCAACTAGTTTTCGTCTATTAATCAACTTTGTCATAAAGATGTGTGAGCGCATAACCAATACAATCCGCACTTAATTGTAAGAAAATCATGATTGATATTAAGGTACGAACTATATGCAAGTTTGGTGCACAAGTAGACTTGATGACACCCCTTCACAGCAATAAGTGGGGATATTCTTTAAGACAGCTTTTATTTTTCTGCTGTTTGTAGCTTGGCATGGTCGTGTTACGTGCAAGAAAATAAAAGAGGTTGCAGATTTCTGAAGTAGCAACATTAAACAACCCACCGGTTACAAACAAATAATGAAATAAAACACTTCTTAGAAAATGAAAGAGACAGGTCTGACAAGTAAACAGAAAGTTGAATGCAAAAAGCACGCACCTGTCGCTTCGGCGTGGTTGTTGGGGTCGTCTCAGCGTCCTTCGACTTCGAGGTCCGCGACTTTTCCGCCGGTACCGGTGTTGACGGGGTAGCCGGGGCCGCTGCCGGCGGCTCCTTCGCAGAGTCCGCATCTGCGCTGTCAACGTTCTCGCTCTTGCGCAGCGACGGCAGCGATGGAGGCGGCACTGACGACGACGACGACTTGGCCTCTCGCTTCTCAGGACTGTCGTGCTTCTCGCGGCGGGCATCTTCCCTTGTTCGGACCTGATGCCAGGGGATTTGTGGCATAATACGGCATCAATCAAAAGGAGGTGCTTTGTCGTTTGAAAGATCCTATAAATATCTGTGTGCAAACACTCAAATACAAATGAAATACAGTTGAACCCGTTCATAACGAGCTCGAAAGTGTCGCGACAAGTTGTCGTTACATTAGTAGATTGTTGTATATAGACTTGCACATATAAACGCGAACTTTATTGAAAAGTGCTAACAATGCTTCCGCTGACAGGTTAGGCCTTTCCACGTGTTAAGCGATGCCCATTTGTTTACGACCGAGTTAAACCATGTTCGCAATGAACTCACACCTTTCCACTGAAGCGTGGTACTGCCACTTCCAACCACTCACTCTTGGCTAGTTGCGTGCAGCGCATCATTTACTCGGTGCACTCGCCATCGCATGCCAGGTTGTTTAAAGTCCAATGCATACGTGCGTATGTGCGTTCTTCAAGCATGCTTCACACAGGATCGTGCTCAAGTGCGGCGAGTAGCCTGTTTGTCTAACACAATGGCAATGAACTTTGTGAGCAACGCGCGCAGATGGCCACGCATGATGCGCATGAGAACTTCGAATAGCGGCATGCCGCTTGTACCGCCGTCCCCACGCCACAAATGGCTTTAAGGTGAATTGCAGGTCGAAAAACCTGAGTTTTCTTTCAAAACTACCAATTTTTTTATTTTCGCCTGTTTTGATAAATTAGTATCTCTATTGTTCTGAAAAAAAAAAAAATACATGACGGGACTTAACTGGAAATGCTTTAAAATTGCATTTAAAGAGCACAAGGTGCCTGTTAAAAGGCCCAAAGTATGTAGTCCTTCGAGCACCTTGCCGCCGATAATGCGCCTCCGCTCGCCATTGTCGATCACATAAGGCGAAGAGTCAAACCTCACTCTTCAAATAATGACAGTTTCCCTCGCTGATGCGGCGCAAGAAATAATAAAAAGAAGCACGTTTTCGTGCATTTTTTTAGCGGCGCGACTGGCTTGTCACGTTGTACAGATCAGGGACCCTCATTGGCCGCTGCGCGCCTGTATGTGCTTTAGAAGCCTACTTGCAAGGTTCATGCCTTGTCGAGCAGCGCAGCTGAACAATTGCTTTTCTCGTGCATTTATTTCCGTTATGAATGAAAAAGCTATCGCTCGCTCGTTAAAGCTGTTGTGGTGGCGCTGCTCTGTAAGAATAGGCTACGAGCAGCTGGTCTAATTTGCCACAGTTGTCGGCTTGCAAAAATCAATGCATCAAAGTCATTCACAGCCATCAGCCAGAAGTTCGTGATGCGGCAATGGACGACGTCAGCGCCAATCTTGCGAGGTCCGAAAGTGCTCACAGTGAGGAAACTTAGTGGGGACGACATTGCCACTATGTACGACATTATGTGGCACAAACAAGGCCGCAAAATGGCATCGGCACTGTTTTATCCCACGACACTAGACTTAGTTTGGATTTCGCTGTCCTGTCAAACTTCTTCCTAGCTTGCAGTTGGCGCAAGGCTCTGCCAGATGAAGTGGAAGAAGTTTGGCAAGCGTTTCATGGCCCTGTCTGTGAGCGAAATGTCTCTGAGGAGTCGGCGCGAAAAAGCCGAGAGGTACAAACTCGTGGTGCTGGCGTATTTTAGTGGCAGTGGCCACTACAAGAAGGATTGTTATTTTGATGTGCAAATTTCATTGCATTTAAAGACATCTTTCATAAATAAAAACTCTACTTCAACATTAAAACTTGTTTTTCTCAAAACAGAAAGTTTGCCATTTTTTTTTTCAATGTTCCCCTCCTTTTTCCGGCACTTCCAGTGCTCGGATCTGCATGAAATTTCGCCAAAATGTTTTCGAAAGTATGACAAATACAATTATCAGTTTTATTTTAATATTTTATTATATAACAAAAATTTTATGCAAACCTTTACTAGGGTAGGTGAAATAGGGATTTTTTACATCTATTATTTTTCACAACTATTACATATTTTGTATGTGCTTCCTAGTTAGTTATTTGTATTCTACACTTTATCTGAAACATTATGAACTATGAATGGTAAAAAATTACGAAAGTTTACGGATGAAAAGAAGGGGGCAAAAGGGTAAAGGCTTTCACTTTGTCATGTCGCACAGCTAAAAGTATGCCACTTGCAAGAAAACTAATTATATATTTGAAATAAGCATAAAAGGTTCCACAAACAGCTCAAGCTTCGTTGCTCTATGGTGAATATTAAAAAAAAGTGTCTTCGAGTAGCATCTCCCCTTAAAGGCAGAAGTGAAGAAATAAGCGCTGCATCGTAACAGTCTCTCACTTCGGAGGTCCCTCAGCTAAAAATGAACAAACAAATAAAAAAAACAACACTTAGATTTCCCTTCTTTCATTGCTCACGAAAGGCAGGTGAAATGTCAGTTATTTGAAAACTGCATATCTGAAACTTCCTATAGATATACATGAACTCGGCAAGTTTAATCAAGATCGACCAGGAGCTTCGAAAAAACCTTACCACCTAGCTTTCTCTAATTTAACAGGAGATAGAACCTCGAACTTCTCTGATCTCGCACACCCACCTTGGTGTCGTCTTGGCTCGCAGCAACTGTTGCTGCTGCCGCAACCACAGCGGCGGTCGGTTTGGCAGCTGGAGATGGGGCTGAAGCCGCGCCACCGCCACCAGCGCCGCCGCCATTCTCTTCTTCCTGCTTGACCCGGGACGTGCGTGATGGTCTCGGCTTCTCCGGAGGCGGCTCCTCTTTGACCACAACAGGGGGAGTTGTGGCCGCTGTCGCTGACTTCTCTTTGGCCTTCTTGTCGTCGTCCTTGTCTTCCTCTTTGGCTTTCTCTTCCTTTTTCTTCTGCTGCAGGCGAAAAGGAAGGGCCGGGACGGGCGATACATATAGGTTTGTTAAGTTAGCACGCTCCAAACTCCAAGGGAACACACTCGAATGCGCTCAAGTTCAACTTCTTCAGAGCTTAGCTCGACGGAGATTTTCGTTGACCGCTTTTGGAGCATGCAATCGTTACATTGCATGGTTAAATCGCAAACATTACGTTTCTTCCGTGTTACGAATTAGTGGGGAAGGAAAACGCACTTCATCGAAGCAGAGAGTCGAAAACATGTCACTCTTCCGGAAGCCGTATGAGAGGCGAGCTCTCGTGCAGGCCTTCGTGCACAGCCTCAGGATTAAAGCATGTTGTGCGCACTCTGTAATCACGCACCGGAAGTCACCTTATTAAGGGGGGACGTGGCAAGTAAAACTAATTTTTTTATTAATGTACTGTTTGTGATGAAATTTGGTGTGTGTATGTGGATGATTGTGAGGATTCCAAATATGAAAACCGTTTTCAAATACCTCTTGTACTTTTTGAGTTACAAGCATAATTATACTAATTAATGCTCTTCACACTTAAAGAGATAATTATTGCTAAATGAAATTATTTTTTCATATTATTATGTTCCCAAAGCATCAACTTGTGCAAAGAAGCTATTAGTTGATTTTTCTAGTTCTTGTAACCAGAAATAAAATTTCCAAAACATGAATGTTGTTTGCGCACACATCGCAGTAATTATAAAATGTGTTCTTAAAAATTGTAAATGATGAGTAAGAAGAGAGATAAAGCTTTATTGCACCGCTAAAGGCCTCCTGAGCCTAGTGCAAAAAACGGAACGACTCTATCAGTCTTTGTTAGAAAATGACAGATGTTCTAGCGAAGGCACATAGGCGAAAATCAAGAGTTGAGAAAACTGACTTTGAAAGTTCACTCTTGTTTGGAAGTTCACAACATGCCTAAAACACTCAGAATCCTCCTGGGCAGTAATCCTGAGATGCTGTGGCCTTGGCCTCTGTAGAGCGCAACCCAGTTTTGCGCTTCTTTGTCGTGGAACAATCTTCTTTGTCGTGGAAACGTCGCAGAGCACATTGATGTATCGAAGCTTGTACTTGGTAAACGATCTTTCAAACATGATCCTAGCTGCTTCTACTTCCATTTGGCCTGCATTAGCATCGGTGTTCTTTTGGCACTGTGGCTTGTGTTTCTCAAGCCACTCCTCATAGTTGTCGTCACCAGGCTTGGGGCCAACAGCACAGCCTTGGCAGTAGTTGGACAGGACACAGTGGTCCAAGACCAAGCCTGTGTACAGCTCGATTACACAGCCCACGCCAATATGACTTCTGTGCCCCCTCGTCTTCCACGTGCCGTCGTAAATGACGTCAATGTTGCCTGGCACTCCTCCTAGGTCCTTGTAAATGTCATGCACCTTCTGTGCACTTTCTGCTTCAATGCGGGTGGCAGCTGATGTGGTGGCAGGGTGGCTGTACTTCCTTTGCAGTCTCTGGTAGGACTTGTGGTGCAGTGCTCGATGCGAAATGTCCATCGCAGAAAAAATGTCATTTATGGCAGATTGTTTTCTGCCAACTGACTGCACAGCCCTCAAAGCACGCACGTTTACCTCAAAGGGGTTCGTTTTTTGTTGCCCGGAGCACCTCGGGGACGACCACGCACTGTTCACTATGCCACAATTGTCACAAAAAAGTTCCATCCTCGCCGCGAGTCCAAGGCAGTGCGTAGTCTCGAGGCGTATCTACCCTTCGTCGCACTTGTTGCACTTTACTGACGAAAGCAGACCGTTCAGCATCTTCTTATTTACAATGAAGAATGTGGAGTCCTTACCGCCGTCATTTTCGTCGCAGCCTTCGTTCAGAATCTCGAGCTTCCGCTTTGAAGCGGACTTCGATGCTACGGCATCCAAAACATCCCGCCTTGTCTGCGCCCGCTGCGCGATTTCTTCACTGCTCGGAATCTGGGCCGAAACTCGCGATAGAATGTTCGACGCGCGCACGCCCGGAGTTGCAACGGCTGCCGACGCGGTGCCACCGCAATCGGGTTCGCGAGAGCGTCCATCACGGTCGACGGCATCCGGCGGTCTGACATACGACGATGTGGCACCTTCCACACTCTCGGCCTCACAACAATCAGCGAAGGGTCTGAGTAGAGGCTTCGTGACGCTTGAAGAGCATGCTCCGTCCGGAACTGCGACTGGGACGGCAGCCGCAGTCGTCTGCCCTTTGTTCCAAGCTTTCCGACGCTTGCCGTACTTGTGGACGCTCCGGAACTTTTTTTGCGGCAACATAGCACCGCAGTATGAGCAAGCACTCAGAAGAGACCACCGATGTAAACAAAGCTTGGTAAAAAAAGCACGCGAACTATCACAAAAACAGCAAACTGGCAAAAAACGAAGCGCACGCCGGATGATTCTCGACACGGCGGCCGCAGATGCGCTCGCGCTTCCAAGGTTGCCAAGGTGCGCGGCGCAGCTTTGACCAGTAAGAGGTCGCGCCTGCTACCACGTGACCCGCGCAGCCAATTGCCGTTCTTCGTTTTCGTTTTTTTACTTGCTCCTCGCGCTTTTATTTTCACTCGGCGAAATACGAGACCGCGACCATCGGGAAGCCGGCTTTCTCCTCTTTCCAAAGCTACCAAAATGGCGGCCCACGGTCAACAACTTGGCGCGTTTGTGCGGCGTGAACAACACCGTTTCAGGGGCTTTTTTTTCGCACTTTTCGGCGACTAGCCTCGGCAAAAACACTATTTGCGGGATTTGTAGCGCACGTTTCGCTGTAATATTTTAGAACAAGGAAGTTGAAGGTCTGAAGATTACGAAAAAAAATAAATCAGAAAAATCGCATATTTTGACCAAAATCGGCACTTTACTTGCCGCGCCCCCCCTTAACGGTTAAGTATACATGAGTGCACTTCACTGGATGGAGCACTCTCGAGCTCCTAGACTTAACGCGCCCAATGTGTTACAGGAGTCGTACCTCCAGCTGAGTTGCCGGTAACACTATCGTCAGCACCATGAGAGAGAACACAAGAGCGCGTGGAAAACGGCCCCGAACCCGACGTTGGGCGACTAGCGGCGGTGACAGATGGAAAGTGTGGGAGGAGCACAGAAATTCTGCGAGGCATCTGCACTCTCACCCTTTTAGTCCTGATACAAATCGGCAGCTCATTGCTTGTCATGGGTCGCTCGCGGTGCTAAGGTGGGAAGAGAAAGAGTTCTTTTAATTTCAAAAACCTGCCCTCAGACATAGCCATTCACAGTATCCAAAATACACATGCTGATCTGCTCGGTTTTCAGTGTGCGCGGACGTGCACCACAACACAAGTACAGTACAATCTCAATCATTCGAACTCGATGGGGCCCGAAAATTAGTTCGAATTAAAAGAAGCTCGAATTAATGAAAGGTAAATAAACGGAAGGCTCCCTATGCAGTGGCGCATGTGCATTGAGCTAACACACGAGGGGGGAGTTTCAGAAGACTTACATTTATTCACAAATCACAGGACATCCGTTATTAATTGAAGTAATCAGTGGTGCGCGTATGCACACGTTTGCCTTGCAGCGAGTCAATCCATTTCGCACGCAGCTTGCAAAGCATTTCTACTTCGGCTCCAGTATTCTCCTGGCAAGAGAAGTTGCACGCGGAAATTTTTAGCGCAGACACTTTCTAAAGACGACGAAAACGATGACTGCGTAGGAGAGCCTTCAGAAGTCTCCCGCTCTCCATTACGCAGCCGCAGCATGGCCAGCACGTGACGAGAAAGGAGTATCGTCTCCACGCGGAGAGAAGCAGATAAACATTTGAGAGATAACCAAGATTCCACGGCAGCTTTTTTTTTTTTGCTTTATTCGCACGTGTCCTTTAAAGGAGAAGAGTTACGTGGCAGGGAAAGAAAAGGGGAAAGCGTGGCATCGGCGCGTGAGAGAGCGCCCCCCCCCCCCCCTCAAGGCGCAGAGCCGTGCTCTTGCTAGGGGCAAGGGCTGCAGAAGATAGTGCCTTTCAACCCAGCGACGGCTTTCTTTTTTTCCCTCTCTCTCTTCGCACGTGGCGTTGGGAGGAGAAGGGTCTTCACTTGGCAGGGACAAAATAGGGAGAAGCGTGATGCGGGCGTGTCCGCAGATCGGCATTTGAGAGAGAACAAACATTCCAGCGCAGCCTTTTCTTTCCTTTTCATTTCCTTCGCGGGCAGCGTTGAGGTGTCGCAAGTGCCGGCGCAGGATTGGACAGGGTGATGAGAGCATTTTCAGAGCGCAGTATGTTCGAATTAACCGTCGGAAGTGCTTGAGCGTTCGAATTACCGGGCGTTTTCAGCTATTGGAATACACATAGCTTTGACAAGACCTCATCGTGAGTTCGAGTGAAGTGTGTTCGAATTAATGATATTCGACTGTACTAGGACTTCAAGCTGTAATCTGCATCACACGTTCTACACACCATAAAACCAGATAAGTGTGGGGAGTGACAACAGCGTATGAAAAAAGCACTGTCCTTTCCACCTTACAGTCAACTGCCGATTTTTCGGACACCTGAATTTTCGGACATGCCCGATAATTTGGACATCTTCGCGGCACCGCCACGAGCCCCATAGGATCAATGTATAAGGAAGTCTGAAATTTCAGATGCTCGAACCCCTCGGAGTCCAATTTTCTGGACTTTTTGACGCGACGGAAGGTCAGAAACCACCACTGACCTCCAGTGGAAACCACCACAACTGCGTCAGACGCGATTACGATCGCATAAATGAGCGCGCCGGTCTACTGTGGCAGCATCTGTTGCTTGGACTCGATCATTAGCGGAGAAACACACACGGCCTCAGAGTTTCCAAACACTGGCCGTGTTTATCGTGCAAGGGTGCTTCGCTGACAATCGAAACTATTCACCCGGAAATTTTTTGGTGCCAATAATGTTCCTTTATTGGCGCAAAGAAGAAATGGCCATGGGCCGGGCATGTAGCCTGTAGACAGGATAACCGCTGGTCGTTAAGGGTAACTAACTGGATTCCCAGAGAAGGCAAGCGGGTTAGGGGGAGACAGAAGGTTAGGTGGGCAGATGAGATTAAGGAGTTTGTGGGTATAAATTGGCAGCAGCAAGCACAGGACCGGGTTAACTGGCGAAACATGGGAGAGGCCTTTGTCCTGCAGTGGACGTAGTGAGGCTGATGATGATGATACTTCCTTTTGCTTTAGTGCTTGTGCGTGCCACTCTGGCTTCCCGCGCAGCGCTTTCACGAAGCGTTTCACCACTTCAAACTAGAACTAACAGTCACACACCGATTTGGTCTGGCCACGCTGGCTATCTTGAATGTTTACCAGCGCCTTCTCTGGAGTACTTGAGGCAGCGTCGCCTGCCGTCGCGCCGTTTTGTTTACGCAGCCCACATGGTGTTTGGCTACCCTAGTGCGTCGTTGTGCGATCGTGTGCTCTGCAACGCTAAGCCTAGGTCTTTCGACGCTCGTCAGCAAACTCTTTTGTTCACATCGTGAGGATTTCGCTTGCCTGCGATGACCCCCATTCCGCCTTCGTCGTCCTCGCCGATGGCATCGAAGCGCGGAAAACAGCCATCCCACTGATGCTTTGGCAGAGTTCCGGAAGTCTGGTACTTTGACCTTGACCCTCTTGATCCGAGAAATATCAATGAAATGGTGCGTTTTTTGCTTGCATTGAGAAACATTAGCAAAATGGTGCGGTTTTCTTGCTTGCATTGAAAATTATCAGTAAAGTAATGGTTTTTTTTTTTCTCGCATTAATTTTTTCGGACTGCCCGAACTTTCAGACGGTTTTTCGCTCTCTAGAGGGTACAAAAAATTGGCTGTTGACTGTATTTATAACAGAACCACCCAAGTGTTGATCGAATGGGGGTTTGAACCTATTTGTCACGTACTTGTGTGCTCCTCCTGATCATGCTCATGACAATACATTCAATACCTGTATTCTCTTTGAATGCGTGAGCTTAAGCGACGTCTACGAACTGCTCGATAGCTGACAGAATCTGTTGCCAAACTCATGGACAGAAAAGCTCGGTAAACGATAACCACTTCAAGAGAAGCGCTGCTTATACGAATGAATGCCGATGATTTGGTTGGTCTTGCATTTGGGTAAACCCATTTTTTTTGTTTCATTTTTTTCAGCAAACGAAACTCAGTAAATGCAAGAAAGCTGGCTTCATGGCAGAATGCTGGGCAAAATTCTCAAAAACTTTCAACAAATCATTGAAAATACGGGTTGTACACGAGAAAACATGGCACGCGACGGCCTACACCAACGGAACATGGAAAACAAAAAGAAACGACGACACAGACACCGTCTAAGAACTGTTTGCGCTGGCTGTCATGAGTATTTTGCAACTCCACCAATTTGCAACCCTAGTTTGTCACCTTAGAAATACAGAGAAGTTTTCTTTTTCACGAACTTTTACTGCACTTGAGCGAATCTTGCAGTGGCTTCAGTCAATTCACATAAAGTCTGCAGAATCCAGCCGAGCACTCATAAAAAACTGAACATGCTTGCAAATTGGAACTTGGCTCACTGGAGAAGCCAAACCTGTGCGCAAAAAAAAAAAAAAAAAAAAAAGAAAAAAAAAGTCTGTGCATCTGCGTGCTTCACAGCAAATGTCGTCGAAAGATTATAGACTTCTGCCGGCTGTCTTCTTTGTGCATAGAGTTACATTTTCAGCGCAGCATAAGGAATACTAGGGTCTTCAGAATTATGTATCTGTTCATGTTGCACCTCTGATATGCTTAATATTTGCTCTCTGATCGACAATGTTCACAAGTATGAATGCAGCCATGAGTTCGAGATAGCTGGGTGTTCAGCAAGTCTTTAAACTTTGGCCGAGTGGCCGAATCGTGTGACAGACAGACAGACCGAGATTTCTGCATTCAAGTATCCCAAGAAGGATTCTCATCCTTAAAAGAAGTGTGGCAGTTTGGGCTAGTTGTTGTGACATGACGATTGTTATAGTAAGAGAACAGAACAACGACAAAGAGACAAGAAGGACATGAGCGCGAACTTCCAACTGAGTTTTTTGCGCAGAGCGCGAAAACATAGAGGAGACGGTAAACCATATGACAAAAACCATGTGGCACAAAGGGCGATGCCCGAGTAAGGAAAAAAAAGCAAAAAAAGGCAAAGAAAAGTCTATAAGGAAAGGAAACAGAAAAGTAAAAGTAATATAACTACTTGCGCGCACCGAAACCTTCAAGGAACCTTAGTTCCTTTTCGGACAGAGACACGGAGGGCTTGCTGATGCATGACACCTGTTACACGCCATCTGCGCAGCCTCGCAATAAGTCGGGTGCACTCATCCGTGCTTATACAGCATCACTGTGTCCTTGAAAAGGGGCACACAGTTGCACTCAGTGCAGTGCTGAGCAAGAAAACCATCTTTCCCTTTTATAATATTGTTATCGTGTTCTCTTAGTCAATCGTTCAGACACCTTCTGGTTGTTCTGACGTAACAAGCACTTAAAAGCAGGTTTTGCTTACTTCTTTGTCCTTGCGTGCAAACAGGGCCAGTCCCCGGTCCTGGTTGCGGGTCATGATGCGGTCCGACCGGTGCCGCACCCTCCCTGATCGAGGGTTCGACACCATCGTGCAACCCAGCTTGCGGTAAAAGTCTTCAAAGCTTTGCAGATACCTCATTCGCAGAGCATGCAAAAAAAGAGAAGTCAATCCTGCAGCAGGGTGTCAACAAGGGCTACACTGGTTCCCTTACGAGCATGCAGCCGCGAGCTTTTATTGAAAGGTAAAAGCTTGTTAGTTCTACACTCGCTGACTCGAAAAATTGGATAATTCAAACGCGTATTAAATGTTCAGTGGCACCAAGCGCTGGTTAATTCAGCCATATATGGCTGCAATCCTGTTGATTTGAAGGATCCTTAGAGCGTGAAGTCCATCCAATTGGCGATGCAAAGGAACAAAAGCTGTGTTTCGGAAAAGCGAGAATGGCCACGGGCTCATAAAAAGGAGTGGCCAACGTCCGCATTCTTGTTATGTAATAAGGTAAGGGTTCAGTGCAGGCTTTCGATTAAAAAAATGGGGTTCCTGAGCCGCATTCACATAGCGAACGACGTCACGGATAACCAGAATTGTGGCTTTCGCACTGCTCTTATGTAAAATAATTACGGTAACTTATGCATTTCTTGCGAAAATGACAGTGCACTGATGCAAGAATTTTCGTTTTCTTAATGATTTCGATAACTTGGCCTTCGGTTATATTTCTGACCGATTTCTGGGTCGCACGAAATCGACCAAACAAGCTTTACTGTACACTCAGACCTCATTACAACCAAGTCACAACTGGCACAAAAATACCCTGTTACATCTGCAAATTTGTTATAAACGATCATTCGTAACACTGTGTATGACAAAGCTATTCTTTACTAACTTTGTTATAACTGAATTAACTACATAGAGGTTTTGGTGTATTACTCCAACAATTTTCTATTCTATCTTAATGAAATGCCCAGCGGCACGCAACACTAAAAAAAAACACAAGATGAGTGAATGCTCACTTCTTGTAGGCCGTTCGAAGGAGGTGGGCGTTGGTCTGGTTGGCGGGCGATGGCAGCCCAAGCCGGGCGTACACGGTCTTCCACTGGTTGTGGTTGGTGACGCGGTTGCATCCGCCCAGCTTGCTTACCACCCGGAACAGCCGGTACAGGTTCAGGTCGCGGCCAGCCATGGAGGGGCCCTTGTTGATGGGCGTCCCTGCGCGAGGAGCAGCCGTGCAACCTGTTCTAACATGTGTGAGCTTGTGCCAAAGGCTATAAAACGGACACTTGCCATTGAAAACGTGTGATTGGACATGTCTCTGGTAGACTAATCTGGGTTCATTTCTCTTCAACCTCATGCAGAGAGAACCATTAGAGATGTTTAGCTCGTATGGATACTTCTTTACGTTTAACATGTAACCGGATATCGGTTTGCGTTTACCGTCTTACCGGAATGCATGTCTTTCAAAGTTTCAGCTCCTCATAAGTAAACTTTTACGTACGTTTGTAAATGCGTATACTTTTACGTTTTCGCAAACCATAAATGGTGAAGCTAGCTGCATTCAAACTGAATTTATCTTCCATAAGATTGAATCACTGTTGTGGCAAAATCATGAGACGTTTGTTTTCGTGCACAGTATTCTCGTATGAGCAAAAGGGTGAAAAATGCACCGCAACAATGGTGTCGACATCTTGTGACACTTCGCGGAACCATAGTTATGAACACGCTGGCTTACTCGTAATGTTTTCGAGGTAACTCATTTGTAATAACGTCGCTTCATGGTTTTCGCACCAGATGTACAATGCCCAATGTTTCTGCAATAACAATTTTGTGTTTACCTGGTTCACTATAGCCCCTCTAGATGGTGCCACCTGTCTAGCTTGTCGGGAGCTCGTACGTTTACAATGTCCATAACCTAGGTCAGTCAAGCTTTGGTAATCCGGCTGAAACAATGTAATCCCTATTGATGCTCGCACTTCGTCTTATTTCAACTCGACGGCTAGCCCCCGCAGTGCGGATACCATGCGTTCCTATGAACGAGGGTGGATTTGCGAGATAGGGCGGAAAACGTAAAGGTTTATGTTCTGTAAAAACCTGCGCATGCACAGATTCTATCCGGTAACATAAAGAAGTATACATACGAGGTAAAAGCCCTTATTACCTCAACGTGAAATTCCGTCACATGGTGTCACACACATAGTTAAACCATCACTTCCACTCTAAACGAATGAGCCTTAAAACATCATCAAACACTGACCACGTTCGTCCATGAACTTGTACAGCTGTGCCACAAACCGGTCTTTCTCCTCACTAGGCTCATCGTCCGACACCTGCACGAGACAGTTATGACCTCGTCAGCACCTTGCAACACACACAACTCAAAGCGGGCGTTGGAGCATGCATATCAAAAGTGCCGTCGATGGTGTCTGGCCATTGGTGGGCATCGCATCACAAATATTTTCTGCCACGACACTTCCGCAGGTGCACTGAACAGCCGCAGCAGTCGAAACTCCGAGTGCCACCTCTGCGGCAAACACTCAAGCCATTCTCATCAATGTCATAAATTCAAACATTTTGTCAATTGAACACTTCCACATGATGCTCAGCAGTCAGTTCGACACAGCCACTGTGTCAGTCGCAGCTCAGTCTTGATCAAATTTGGCATTACAGGGCCACAGAAAAAGTTGATGATCGTTTTATCAATTAGGCAGAATGACAACTCTGATCACTTTCTATATAAACTACACTGGCAACGCCATCCGATATTGGACCAGTATTGCAATTCCCTTTGCTTTATTCAATTCCATTTTTATTGTCAACCCATCATGACAGTACAAACGTTGCAATAGCGCACCAAAGTACTATACTCAGAAACATGCACTGATGGAATAAAGTTATGCTTGTGCAAACAGTGCTTTTAGTAAAATAATTTTGAATCGAATTCAAATAGCATATATCGCATATTATAAAGAAAAAATTATCAAATTTGTTGTAACCGAACTAACCTGCAGTCTCTTTTTTTTTTAAATTGAAACAAGGCCTGAGCAAGCAGAGAGAACAAGCTTTCAAACTTAAAAAATGATGAACCGATATGAAGGTAATATGTTCACTTGACCTTAAAGTGAGACTTCGCCGCAGTGCGGATTTTCCCTCAGCAGGTGCCTTCATGGCTTAGCACCCCTCCACTGCACTGAAACCACCTTTACGAGAGGTTACATGCCGACTAAAATGCATCTATCCATTCTTATCGAATACTTCTGAGTTTTGGACAATTTAAAATCAAATCTAAGAGAACTCTAATACACTAACATTCATTCGAATATTTACACCAGCCTACATAGAATTAATATGTTATTCCAGCATCACAGGCTTTTAGTATTCTAAAAAACTGCAGCTCATTCCACAAAAGGTCAGGCACTTCTGGCCGAGAAAAGGCACAAGGCAGCACTCACGTCCGACTGCGAGTCGTGGCCGTCGTCCTCGGCCGCCGTGGCCGAGCTGCCACCCTCGCTGCCAGCGTCGTTGGCGGAAGAAGCAGGGGCCGCAGACGCTGCAGTGGGCCGCAAGGGAGTAGGCGGTCTCGCCGGGATGGCAGGCCCGCTGGAAAGGAGCAGGGCGCTCCCCTGCCAACCAGTGGGGAGCTCGCCTCGGTCGAGAAACGTGAGCGCCCGCTCGACGGCGAGGCGCAGAGGGTTGGTTTCGGCCCGCGCAGTGGCGTCCTCTCGCGAGAACTCGCGCAGCTCTCGCCTGTTTACCTGCGAACTGCGCAGGTGAATGAAAGTGTAAGCTTTTGACATCTAAGAGTGTACTTAAGCATGCTCCCTTGCTATTATTTGTGAATGACCAGAAGTGGTGTCCCGCATTATCATACTAGCGTACAGCACAAACTCATTCTTTTACATTCGAGCACAAACTCCTTATCACTAATTAATGCTGGTTTAGCTCATAGCGTATCATGACCAGTTTAAGCTAAACGATTGCAAATGTTTTCTAATCTAGGTTATCCATTAGTAACACAGCCACATTGTTTGCACTCAATCTTCGTTTAACAACAATCTTGAATATCAAAGTTGTTTGCTCAGTCTTTACCCCATTAGTAAGCAGCTGCCTCAAGTTTTTAGACATTAAGAGTTTTCGGATACAGTCGAACCCCTTTATAAGAGACACTGATATAAGAAACATCAGTATGCATACAGTAAAATATGGGGGATAGGAAAATGCATACGAGGTACCCCGCTTATAAGAGACATCTTGTATAAAAGACAAGAATCGCTACCTGGGGCATGCCCCTTATTAAGGTGTTTAACTGTAGAACAAAACAACAGCCTATTAGTTCAGGCAGTGTACCTCAGTACGCATGGACACACACCTAATGAAAGAAGTAGCCACTTACAACTTGGCGTCTCTGAACGACCGGACGACCACCTCGTCCCGAGGCACGGGGTTGCTGATGCCCGGACCAGTCGCACCTGTCGGGTTCACTACGAGCACGGGTGCCCACGAGTCGCGCTTGCGCTTGTCGCCAGTGTCCAAGATGGCCACCCGGCCGATGCGCCACTCCGAGGACGATGGCGTCGTGGCTCTAGAACCCCCTCCCGCGGAGTTTCCCCTCGATCCCGACGTGGGCGTGGCCCGGCGTGGAGGCGTCGGAGCCGGAGTCGGGGCCGACTCTTCGTCACTGCTGTCCTCTTCCCTGTACACCAGATTACGACTACTGCTCAGTGCAGTACTGTACCAACCTAGCTCTGCCTGCGGTATGAGAGTGGCCAAACAAACTGACACTTACATCGTAGCGATGGACAGCATGGATCGACGCTTGCGCTTGAGCTTCGAGCCCATGACCGGTGTGCCGAAGTGCTCGGGATTGGTGAGGGGCAGTTGATCCAAAGTCTGCAAAACAATGCATAAAAAACATGTGCTCACATCAAAGACCTTTTGACCTCACATCATTTTTTTCGTTGCTGAAAAACCAGTGCCAAGAAACTAGAATGAGAACTGCAGGAGAAAAAGGTAGTGCTGATTTTTGCTCGCTGAAACACCACAGAAAAAAATCTGCAGCCACACAACAAGAATAACTGTAAAATGCTGAAATTATTCTTGTTGGCTGTATACGAGCCCTTTTCTTTCTTTAGCACCGTTGGAGAGAATAGCGTCTATTTTCTTTCGAATAGGTGGTCTGGCCTTCAATAACATATTCTTAAAAAACATCTCCCGTACTTCTCGGTATGGTGCTGAAAACTTGCACAAGAAACTTAAACTCTGGGGTCTTGTATGCGAGAGCCATGATAAAAATATGAGGCACACCATAATTAAGATCTTCGAATGAATATTAAACCAACTTGGATTCATAAATGTGTACCTAAGTCAATGCGTGCGGGTGTTCCTTTATTTTTCATGATAAAAGAGCGCCTGCCATGGCCAGGAATAGAATATGTAAACTCAGGTGCAGTGGCACAACGTGCGCATTTAAAGCTTCCAGAGCAGATTACTTATGACAGAAAACAAGCCTACAGGTACGTCAGAACCCTTGAGTTAGCAGACTGTGTCACTACAGTAACTGCTCAATAAAATAGGCAAACTACCAACGCAGCTGCCAGAGTAAAACTGCAGTTTGGACAAATTGGCGACACTTCATTTTGAACTAACAAGGAGCAACACTGAAAATTGAATGACTAGCCCTGCCACCATGCACAAGCGGCAATGCAACTGTGCAAGATGTCACGATGAAGTGTGAAACAAATTTGCGCACCTCGCTTTCTGCAAAGTGTCGCCCGCTCTTGAGGCACAGTGACGTTCGTCGCAGCGTTGTCTCGTCTCCATCGTCGAACACTGAATAAACAAGAAAAAAAAAATATATATATGCGCTCATAACTTGATTTAGAGAATACAAATATAACAAATCATTGATTATAATGAAGTAAATGAACAGTGTTGTCATAGATACAGTGTTGCAAAACTATGTTTAAAACCAAATTTTGGATATAACAAAGTTACTTTTGGGGCAGGTGTGGCATTGCTATATTATGCTGTATATAAGTAAATGGCACTTGCCCCACTTAAATTAATATAAAACGCCTGACACTTTCTGAAAAGGAGGGCAAGTTCCAAACATGCTTACACATTACAAAAAAGCACAAGAAACTGTAAGCACAGGCAATGTCCTACCATAACCCCATCCAGCCTAAACTAAATTAGTGGAAGACTTCAATAATCGTTCATTACGCACAGAGCTGCTATTTCTAGTACACAATAATCAGATGAAATAAACATTTATCACAATAATCAAATGAAAAAAAAAATCCAGTTTCTGATTACAAGGTTACCAATGTGAACTGCCAATTTCTGCCTGCACCTTGAAATGCTTTGCAATGTCGTCAGGAATAATGAACTCTATCCAACCCAAACTAAGTTAGAGAAAGACTTCAATGAAATGATCATTCATTACGCAGAGAGCTGCTATTTTAGTACACAATAGTCAGATAAAAAAAAAAAAAAATCCAGTTCGTGATTACAAGGTTACAAACGTAAATTTCTGCCTGCACCTTGGAATGCTTTGCAATGTCATCAGGAATAATGTTCTGAATACATGCTAAAGTTTACACTAGTGGTACTCTACTTTTATTCATGAATATATAATGCTCGCCGTTGAGACAATCAGTTTGATATGATTATATATATGGTTATTATACAATGACTTGTTCTTATAAGTCATCAAAAATCATTCTATAAGAATATTGATCCACAAGTCTCGCATGTTGCACACAGCTACAGCAACACAGCGTTTTGGGTGTGTTGGTACAATGCCAATGTAGCCATTTTTGCACGAAATAGTGAGGATATGGAGACATGAACAGTGCGCACAAACGCTTTGCACGTTTTTCTGCGTCTCCGTCCTTCCCCGCACTGAAAGGTACGTCCACATAACAAATAATTTGGTTTATCTTAGTTTGTGATAATCATGTTCCGAGTGCAGTTTAAGGTTACGATTAACTATTCGCAGTCCCACTATTCAAAGAGAAAATGCCAACACGCTTTAGGATTTCTTCCTTCCAATCGGTCTAGTTAATGCAGCATTTAGCACTTCACCAGTCCCATACTTACCGACAGTGTACTGACTGTAGTCGAGCAGTTTTCCGATAACAGCCTCAAAGTACTGGTTCCTATCCGGGTGCTTGGCCTCCACATGGGCACCGACCTGCTCGATGGAAAAGAAATTTGCAGAACATGTTTGAGCACACCTTTCTTGTGTTGGTAATTTTAATCCATGCGCTAATATGGCTCCGCTGGTTAAGTTACGGTGATGCGCAAACACAACAAAAAGACCGTGTTGAGTGCTAGCATCAATTCGCTGTGTGAGAGCAATGTCAACGAGTCTTTGTCACCCTCTGGAAACCTCAACTTACTTCACTTTTTGATACACCTCATCACTTGTTTGTAAGCGTGTGCGGCCTCAAAAAAGTGTTTCCAAGAAAATGCCGACAACACACTTGTTTTGTCAAATGCAGCTACTAGGTTTGCCATGTCAATTTGATCATAGCAATCTCTTCATGCCATGTAAATGACACAGCAGCGTTATTTGATTGAGCTGCCAACACAAGCACACTCGTATTTCATGCAATCGAACTAAATGCAGCAACTCGCATCACATGAACATCGACAGAAAAGAACTCGCAGCTAGTACTTTCACAACAAACTATACATACTTTGCTGTGAAACACAGAAACATGCAGCAACAACTTACATGTGAACAGTCTTCTTTGCCTGATATGATTAAAGCAAAGTATTTTAGCATCATAAGAAAAACAAACATCAAAAATTGCTTACACAAAAGTGAACCTCACTGAGTGATTTACATTTAACTTCCAAGAGTGGGAAAGCTGCGAATTGAATTTGTCTACAAGTGATTACTTGGGGAAAAAAAAAAAAACAGAGCACCAGCACATGTTTTCTAAGGCTACAAAAACTGGTATAAGATAATCACATACAAAAAGGATGAGATATAAGTGTGAAGATATAAAGGCACGTGCAAACTTAAATTTAAGACTAATATGAGTCTCATTGATTGATTGATATGTGGGGTTTATTGTCCCAAAACCACCATATGTTTATGAGAGACGTAGTGGAGGGCTTCGGAAATTTCGAGCACCTGAAGTTCTTTAACGTGCTAATACGAGTCTCATCAAAAACCCTGTAGTCAAAACTGTTGTGATGTCACGACACAGTTAAAATTCTCAATGTTGTGCAAAATTAAGGCTAAATATTAAGGCGTATGAAGGCACATAAGGCTTATGAAGGCACTTCACTGGGCATATGAAGGCACATAACTTGAGCTGCACTTCCATGAATGCTGTCAAAAACTTGCACACGATTGCTGTGGCAATTGCGAGAAACTTGCACATAACTAACACGCCAAACGTCAGAACTTCTAAGTGTTTTGAGAATGAAGCAGGGACAGCGTATCACGACGCGGCCTTATTGGGACAACAGAAATAAGAACTGGTTTGCAATACGAGTATGTACTACAGCAAATTACATCAGGCACTCTGACACTCTCGAAATTTATTTATTTCAGGCACTTGTTTTAAGAAATACAGATGCAGAAAATGGAATTTCGGAAACAATGTGTCACTATTTCATTTAACTAGCACACAAGTCCAAGTATCCACGCGCTTCTGCATTCTACACATCATAGAGCGAAGCCACCACTGTTTGGCAAATCAAATCTACATTTGTTTCGCGTCTGACAAGCTTTGACTGAGCAAAAGTCATCGATACTTGTCGAACTCGGTCTTCGGTTCCCTCGGGCACACACGATGTACTCCACATATATCGATAAACAATTAAGGAAACATGAACACTTACCACCTAAAGTCCTTAAAGCCAGCGCAGGAGCCTCCAATGTTACAATGACCATCACGGCAAGAAGCTCGTTAGAGCAGTTGAACTCGTTACAGTTACAAATATAAATAAAGAAACGGGCCATAGTGAAAACGAAACCCACCCGTAATGTGTTTCCCTTGATGTGCTCATCGGGGATGACGTGAGTACCAAGGCTGTTCTTGAAAGTAACCTGAATAAGAAAAGAAAGAAAGGAAAGAGAGAGAGAGAGTGTACTTAGAAACAGCCCAGCACAACACTTGATGTCTTCGGCGTTTAGGAGGATGCTCGAGGAAAACACTAAGTCAGACTGGAATGCGGATCATCTCCTAGGAGTGTTTGAAAAAAACCTATGATGCAATACACAGCTAGGAAGTTGCCATAGTGTCCAATAAGTCACCATGCTTTATGCAGTCTCCTGGCGTGCTTATAGCACAGTTCTTGACGTGTGGCTAACCGCATTTTAGCACGTACAAGCAACACATGATGATTAAAGGGATACTGAACAAAAATGGAAAAAAACTGACGAAATTTCGAAGTTACGCTCTGAAGATGCCACTATTTCGATAAACCGAGTTTATTTCCTGTATTTTTGAACAGTTGGTTCTATTTTGGAGGGATTGTGAGGGCGCCGCGGCTGCTCGCGAGCGCGAGCAGTGACGTCGAACTCACCAAGGCGCATGCAGGATGCCCCGTGTTTTTGTCCCCCCGTTTTCTTTCCTCCAGCTGCCCTTTCACTCCACTCTTTTCTTTCCACAAAAGCGCTGGCCGCTTTGCCCCAGCCGGAAGCATTGTTTGCTGCTGTTGCTGTTTCATACCGGTTCTGGGAACCCTAACGGAAGTTGAGCGAGGTGAGAGACACGGGCGATGGCTGGCCAGTTTCCGGTGAGTTTGGCATCACCCAATGCCACATCATCTAGTTCATGGCGCTGCCACTAGATGCGACAGTTTGTGAAAAACGCATTAAATTCATTATTTTACCATAGTTTCTGCTTGAAATAAAGGTTGTCTCTATCAATTTCAGGATCCAATCTATTGAATTGGCTGAAAATATTGGCGGCAAAGATGTTGTTCAGTATCCCTTTATTGTGTGAGGAAAGATATATGGTAAAAATGACCCTAGAACACACACTGTACTTTCACGAAGCCACATTGAAGGGTTAATCATGAATTTAGACCGCACAGCTCCAAGTATTACACTTGTTCCGCCAAACAATAAAGCGAATGCGAAAGTACGAGCATTTTAATATTGAATAACCATCTCACCACTATGGATACCAGTTGCTACAAATGCGCAGAGTGCTATGGCGCCCCATGGCAAAAGGCCAAAGCCTTTCCTGAGACTCATACAGACGCTGTCTTAGGCCTCATAGCTTGAAAACTAACAATTGATCTCGGTAATGCCGAGTTCTTAAAGCGATTTCACGATGTCACAACAGAAAGCAATTAATGAGAGTCAATTGTGATACAAGCAGGCACAATGGCCTCTGTCCCCAAAATATTGCAAGCCTACTTGACATCCCCCGCATGTAGCTGCGGCAGCAGCTAGCTATTAATCACTGTGGGATGGCAACAATATCTTAATAAAACATTCTACAAGTCACCTTGCAAGTAATATGTTCAACATTCAGGTTTTCGATATTAAGGATAAAGAGACTGCTACTGGTTCGTCAAAATAGTAAACGAAAAAAGTGAGACTGCAGTGACAGCTATTTGATGTGAAGACTGAAGGGAATAGGTTGATATTCGATTGAATATACAGTATTTGTGGATATTCAAACACACCAAGCAAAACCAGCACAGAAAGCAATTAAACCTTTTTGGGCCTAGCTGACATTCTGCAAGCATTTAGAAAATCGCAAGGTTTCCATTGATTCACAGATTGCGCGTTAGACACAATTGAGTGTGAGCCTCGCAGAGTTGCCCATGAATTCGAGCAAGAATATCTGCATATAGTTCCGTTGCGAGATTTGTGCTCAGTTTATCGTAATCTACAGACACATCATCTACACACACAATTATCAAAGTGTGGCACTAAAGAATTTTTTTTTTCATGTTTTGAAAAAGGAACAAGATTTTTCTTTGCCAAAGAATCGAAGTTTTTGATGTATAGAGGCCATTCAATGTTAAAAACAAAATCAGACATCTGACAGAGCTATAGCGTTCAGCCCGATTCTGAGCAAGCTTTTGAGCTTTTGAAGTTTTAAACTTTTAAAGACCAAAGCTCACATTGTGGCACTCGAAGGTGCCGCATTTGACAAGTGCACCTGACAGCTCATTACTCCAACATTATGGTCTATGTGAGTATGCTTTGAGAAGAATTTATTTAGCTATTATTGATAAAGCTGATGTAACGCTTGGTTTCGGTGACCTATAATTTTTGCCAAAATTGCAGCCCACAAGAAATCAGTTCGCAAAAGATTTTGTAATGCAACAACAGACATGGTAACTTATTCTTACACCTGCATTGTTTAAAGAAGTGGCACTTGCAGAAAAATGAGTACTTTTCCTTTCGCACTTAGACCATTCTTTTCATCATGAAGCAGAATTTGACCACTTTACTGGAAGCAGCACAAAATACATTCTGGTACCCCGTCCTGCTAAAATACATACTAAAACAATGCAACTAAACACATACATGCTAAACACATACATCCTATACATGCTAAAATGCAGCACTTGCCAACATAGCAACAAAATCGAGTCGTCTAACATCCAGCCTAACTGCGTGTTTTTCCCAGCACCCTCCTTTGCGCCGACGCATGGATCACTGATAGTTCTGAAGCCCTCCGTGCTACAGAGATGTTCCAACGGTGTTTGCAAGACCTGAAGTCGCCCGGCCGAGAGAAGATCAGCGTGAGTGTAGCCGCAATCACGTGGTTCGCTCGTGCAGATGACCGCGACTCCATTCCGGGACGAGTGGTGTCCGCATTGTGCATGGCGGTTCGGAAGGAGCTGGCGGTGGCCAGGGTCAGGGTGGCAGGGGAGAGCTGAACGGCAAGGGTGATGGCGTAGCGCGGTCATGCACGTGGCGGCGTTCAGAATCCGTTCCGCGTGAGGCCCCGACCAGTGGTCTTGCCACTGTGTGGTGGCGCTGTGCAGTCCTGCCGCTCTAGAGGCAGTCTGCAAGTTTGACAGTGCCAAGTGTTTGTCCTCGCCCCGTTCGGTATGCAGTATGGTGTGCACGCGATTCCCATGTGAAGTGCACGCAGGAAAGAAAAAAGCTGATGTACAAAATGAAATTACGAAAGGAGAGTGCAATGCACAAATAATTGTTCTCCTTCCAATTACATTATATCTGCAAGGTGAAATTGGGTCACTCAACTCATTGCAATAACTCAATTTTTTTTCAAACTTAACATGTTTCTTCATTGTATGCATTCCGAGGAAATAAAAATGCAGCAAAGTTATGCTGGATTGCATCACTGTCATAATTTCAACTCAACATTTAGTTCTAATCATTTTTCTTCAGACATGCACTGTCTAGGTTCAAAGGATGAAAGGCTGATTACCACTCCCTGGCTAAGATCTCTTGCTACCAACCAAATTACTGCCATAATTTCAACTCAACATTTAATTTCGATTATTTTTCTTCAGACATGCACTGCCTATGTTTAAAAACCTTACAGGCAGATTAAAACTCCCTGACTAAGATCCCTCCAGCCATATAGTGCTGGTGATTAACACTGTTAGTCATGGCACTACAGTCAACAAAAGCTAATGGAAACAAATTCCTACAAGTTCCTGTACAAGTAAATTTCAGATTGTCTTCAATGTATTTTGCTTCTTTTTCAGAGTGCAACAATCTACAAAGGAACGCATTATGTCTCTTCAGAGTAAAGCCGAGACAGTCTACAGAGTAACAGCAAAGCAAGAAAAAAGCAATAAGCAAAATGCATACACTGCCGAAAGAATCACTGCACAATGTAGGCAGAGCATGCTATAGGAAGATTAAGGATATCTCATTTTTGTCAAAACAAGGGACTCCTGAAGCAAATCCGGCAGTGATATTTTTTTATATCAGGTCATTAAAATGGTAGCTTTGGATTTCTTTACACACTTAATAACCATCGTCTCAATCTTCATGGAAATATGTGCACCTAAATATAAGTACACTAGCCTCCTCCTTGCCGCCATCAAAAATACTGCTGCCGTTGCCATGGTTCAATCCCGCGACCTTCGTGTCAGCAATCGAGAACCACAACCACAAAACTAGTGGCAGATGAATCGTCATGAAAACAAAATCATTTGTCACTACAGTCAAGCTAAGGGCAGTATCTTCTTTACATTACTCTACGTTCACGCTCGGTCTTGTAAGCACTAAAGCAGGGATCCTTACTGATGATGGCGTCAACTAGATGCTCAAAGCATCTTACATCAAGCCAACATTTTTGTGCATAGAAAATCTTTAAAGGCATAGTATAGTGGTATAGTTATAGGTCAGCCATATTCGGATCCCACCAGAATCTATAAAGCAGTAGCGCAGTTATACAGAGTATCTTAGGCAAACAAAATCTACAGCTTGGCACATTTTGCTTGAGAACATCACCACAAGGTGTCACCTTGTACTGCTGCTTCTACATAACAAGTTCTGCTATAAGGTTATCTCTTGAATCGCTATGCCCAGTATTACTATGGCTATGTAATGACACAGTAATACTAGGCAGATCATGTGTGTGTGTCAGGATTTTATGAGACGCTTGCATACTTCCTTGCTCTACGAGTCTGTGCAGTTAAACCTCCTTGAATTCGGATTTCATGCGACTGGAAAAAAAGTTCGAATTAAGCGAATGCCTAATCATCAAATGTTTTACAGAACGATAAACAAGTATCTATTACATCAATGAATTTTGACTTTCTTGATAAATACACACATTCAGTACTTACTCTGTGTGACAGTAGTGCAAGAGCTACAATTTACACCATTTGCAAATTTCTTTGCAATGTTAGCCCGAATCACCTTGTCTTAGGCCGAAACATGCTATGGACTCATCCGTTATTGCATACCACCACCACCGACACCACCATGCGCACGTGACGGTGATATGAAACACTGCACGCTTCGCCGCTCCCCAGGTTTCACGATGAACACCCTTCCCTACATGCATCGGTGCTGCCAAGTTTTTAACAGTCCAAAAGAATTTGGCATTGATGAGTACAAAAATCATTCATTCATTGGCATCTTCTAACGAAATACAAAAAGCACAGCATGGTAAAATATACAGGCACAGGAGGCACTGAGCAATGTGAACCACAGGAGAATGTCGGTCGCTCCGTACAACAACATTTCACTAGTACAATATTTCACTTGTGCTGACAGTAAATGAAGAACTCTCGAACCAATGCCAACCTACTCATTTTGGAACAAATTTCGATATCGCGAAGCACAGCGAACTGCAGCCCCTACGCAGCGTTACGTTCTTCTACGAAAAGTACTGCAAATTTAAAATGTGTAACCAAGCTGCTGCAGTTAAGCGACGCCATACCAACAATGAAACCAGGCGAAGCACAGGGCGGAATAAACCTGCAGTCTCCTCACAATGGCTTTCTCCAGTTGCAATTAGCAAAAAATTGCAGAAGCCTGCAGAAATGACAGAATAGATGATGGACTACACTGCGCAGTAAGTCTTTAGACTTGTTCATGTATTGTCTGTTGGAAGAAAAATTTCCTGCTGAGAGCGAGCCATCTCACTTCAAGAAGCGAGGGGAAAAAAAAAAGGCAGCGTATATATATATGGAAGTTGTACATCCTGGTGGTGCAAAGAAAAGGCTCCTTTTTTTCTGCCTCCTCTTGCCTAGGTGGGCTTGACCACAGACCACCAGTAGAACAAGCCTCAGGCTTCTTAGCATTAATTTTGAACTGCTTTTGCTAAGTTCAAACTTGGCCTACCCCCAGTAGTCCTGGGCCTTATGCTACCCCTGACAAAAATGAAGAATCAGCAACATCAAGTAAACATTACAAGAAACTGAATGCTACAAGGAGACAGGTAAAGATGAAACAGATGCTAGTATAAGAGAACGAAACATGCAGGAAACTATGGCAATAAGTTATTTTTTTTTTCGGCAACTGTGACGGGTATTGCTCATCGATTACTCAACGACCACCTTGCCAGTTTCGGTCAGCAACAGGTACATAAGCAGCTTGTCACTGCTGTCACACCTCCCCAACATGCTGCAGCTCTTATGTCTCGGTTTAAGATTCCAACAACGATATTCAGTGACTCTGCCACTGGGGAAAGCTGGGTGGCATGGCCAGAAAGCGACTCCTCAGCTCCTAATGGGTCAGCACAAAGCCTGTTTTCACTAGAGCGAGACCTGCTGAACAAAACAATGCTGACACTACAAGCAGAAGATGAAAGATTAATTTGGGAACAAAGCTGCAACAAAAAAATCAACACATTAAAAACACAAGGAAAAACTCCTGTGCTACATAGCATGCACTGGAGTCAGGGTGTGGATGTCAGTGAGTGCTCTCTGCAGATGGTACAAGGGTTCACGGCAACCGCAGCATTAGCCAAGAGGCCGGATTCTGTGATGTAGATTCTAGCCAAATTCGGTATAGTAGTGAATTCAGATCCTCATGGCACGATAAAAATATGTTCACCTATGCAATTTTCTTGCCAAGAAGTACGCGATTCCAGTGCCGGACACTGGCAAAAATCTGAATCACAGGAACCAATCAACAAGAGCAATTGCTGTTAGAGTTAATCCTTTTGTTCCCTTTGAGAATCTTGCTGTACCTGAAACGATTTAGAATGGAGGTAATCATCTCATCTGCATTGTTTTAGGGAATAACATGGTTTTTACATATACGAAACCAGTGACAACTGCTACACAGCAGAAGGATCTGTAAACAGACCAAAATTATTTCAAAATATAGCTCGGTCATCATCCAGAACTTTTTGCTTAGTACATTTCATTCCCAACCCCGCACGGACTTGTATCATACTTTCAGTGGCATCTTCGGAATATGTAGACCACCAAAGAAAAAAAAATTAAAGAAGCGAGATAACCCTGCTGTCATGCACTACCAGTAACAGTTTTTGTCATTTCATTCGCTATGAATTAGAAGTAGATACAAAGTGAATGCAAAGCAGCTTACTAAAGCTGGCACATTATTTAAAAGAGTATCGACATGAATTCAATAATTGTTGGCTGCTTGCTATGAAACACCTCCGATGTCAAGAACCCTAATTACCCTAATTACAGTTAAGAACCCTAATTACAGCGCCGTAGTGCTCGGGAGCCCTTTGAATGTACTTTAATAGTGCTACCTTAAAAATGCAATATTGGTATCGGTATCGAGAGGGTGGCTTTGCAGCAACGTGTCAACACGAGGCTCGACGCCACAGAGAGCCAGCAACTCGTGAAATACTAAACTCGGGGACAATTTTCCGTGGCAATGAAGGGAAGGCTACGTAGCCAAAGTGGGCGTGTGCCACCGCTGTAGAATCTAGCGCCACAAATGCGTCCGCATTTTCCGTGTACGAAGGAACAACACTATTTTCTTGTGGATACCGTTTACAAAGGGACGCTGTGAGCACCCAGAAGATATTTATATTTGTTGTTGCTTTCGGAACAGTCATTTGGCGTTATTGTGCGTCTGAAAACGTCGCACGTTCTACGTGCACTTCGCAGTCAATGGCGTCCTTCTTCGTGTTTAGGTGAGCGCGCTCATCGCCCTCCAGCTCTTCGGACGACTCGTCAAAGGAGCTTGCGTCGAATGGCACTCACAAATGTCTGTGTAAGCAGACGTACCAAATTGTGTGCAGTGTGATTACCTGAACACGGCCGCCGTTCGAAACGCGAGCCGAACCAGACCACTTCATGGAGGAGTACAGGAGCAGCAGCTCCAGCCCCGTAGATTTCCCTTCATTGCTACAAAAAGTTGTCCATGAGTGTAGCAGCAGCTACTCATTTGTTGTCAGTTGGACGAGGTTCATGTAAAGGATGATGAGTGAATTGCAGTCCAGTAACTACAACGGCGATTTCTGCAGTGTAGCCTGCATGTAGGCCGCAATGTTTGAAATCAACGTAAAATTTCTTATACATGTTGCCTGGCTCCTGCGTATGGTGAACGTTGACAGTGCATATCATGGAAACAAAAAGTTGTCCTTTCTTAGTCCACAAGGAACGTTTCAGAAAGACGACAGGACAGAGCGCACACTTTCTGAAACGTTCCCTGCGCACTAAGAAAGTATACATCTTTCAAAAATAGAATACCAACCAGCCAAAGTAGCCACTCTTTTGCAAAAAATTTCCCTCAAGGGGCACCTCGAAAACCGTGTACATACTCCTTTTAAGCGGTGCATTGGTATATCTTGCCAAAATACTGCTGTGCAAAAAACAGGAGTGCTGTCGTATTGTTTCGTCCTTGTCCGTTTCGAGTGCTGAGGTGTTTCGGACAGTTCTTTTACAGGATTTGTTGTAGTTGATTACCAAAGTTCTCCACAGTTGGCAAACATGCTTTTCCTGCATGTACAAGATGTCTGACTAGTCCTTTAAACGCAAAAATATACAATCAGTCTGAAGTGGACGATTTCTGAAAGCTTGAGAAAAGAGAGCTTATTATCAGAACAAACATACAAGACGTACATGTCGTGCACGAGGTCAGTGAAAAAAGGTCCCATGCCGCTTCATGAAATCTGCACTTGTGAAACCAAGATACGGCGCGAGGCCAGATATGAGAAACACAAACGCCAAAGAAACGTCGCGCACTTACCCGGCATTTAACCATGCGGTTGACCTTCTTGATCTTCGCCTCGCAAAAGGCACCGCGGTACTTCGCGCTCACATCTGTCCCCACCTGTCAGGTATAAAGGCTCATCCGACGAAGCCTGAAATTAAGAAAAAAAATGGGAAAGAAGTGTCGGCAATCTTTCACACCCTTTAAAAGCTAGTATGTATGCACTGCAGCCATGTCTTTCCTGCAAGAACTCACATGGTCTCAGGTTTGCATAATATCACTGTTCTTTGAAACTTTGCACTTAGTGAACATAAAGAGCTTCAGCTGCACGAAAATCTGAGCAGAGCGGTAGCAAACTACACACGTCGCCTAAATATAATGGATGTATCACCTAGCTCGAGACAAATTTGCCAGCACTGTCTGAGGGTTGAAGCAATGCCCTTGCACGATTCTGAACTTGTTACAACTTGAGAGTAATGGGTGCAGTGTCTTTATCTCGTGGGTACAGAGATAAAAAAAAAACCATGCACGGTGCTGTGATGAAAAGATAATGGGTGATACTGCTTCCAAGAGTTACGGTGTATTGTTAAACCAGAAAAACTTCACTGCCCCATCTCACATTTACAACAGACTACCTCGCAAAGCTTCTTGCAGCAAAGAATGCTGGCAGTAATGTACTACATGTTTCACACTATAGACTACCTCACGAACCTTGCAGCGAAGAATGCCGGCATGCTGCAACGAAGCGATGAAACAGGCAAGCCTGCAGATGTGTTACGCTGCCTCGCGTAGAGATACCGACGCATGCGTGGGTCTATTCGTCACGCTTGATTGCATACGTGCATCCCGCGTTTATGAAGTCATACGACGTACCACTGCGAGACGCTAATTGCAGCAAAGGCACTTTGCTTTCGTTGGGCACACGGGTGGCGTTTAAATGTCAGATTTGTCATCAGGATAAAGTGCAATTGAACGAGGCATACAGTCAGTAAAGCCAGGGACAAACATATGCAAGTCGGTCTCCTGTGTATAAGTAAATAGTTGCTGTGCTTCTACGCCTGAAAACCATGACGTGATTACAAGAGATACATTTATCTGTGTGCTCAATAATACACATCAAACATGGTTGTGTTGCCACAAAAACTGGCTAACATATGACTTCCAGGTGGTTGCATATGGGTGTGGAAGAACTCAGAGAGGTGAGCTGTGCGTTAGATATTTCAAAACAAGACTGCTTTAAAAACGGAAGAAAAAAAAAAGATGGACGTTCAATCGCGACGCGTAGCCCAATCATTTTTTTTTTATCTCCGGTTTGCGAGCTGAGGCAGGCATCGGCCATTACTCTGCAAGTCAAAAACCCCCCTCCTTTTCCAGGTTCACGTAGGCAAACGTGCGAAGGTCATAAACTGGACAGGAACGGAAACTCGACCGACTTTCAGACATGGCAAATTCGAAAGAAGAGAAATGCGGTAGCTGAGAAATTACATCTGCTACGAGGACATTGAGACGTCAGCAGGGAAAGCCTAGCGCCGCAGCGTCTGAAGCCCAAAAACAGCTGTGAGCTCGCAACCGGGACAATGACGGGGCCGCCATCCTAATAAGGTGTTTGACAGCTGTTTCTGAATGCAGCACTAGCTCAGATGCTTCAAGCCAGCCCGATAGCAGTATGCAAAGCGAACCTCGCTAACGTCTGAACCTCCAAAGTTCTCAAACGAGGAAAGAAGAGCCACCGCGCAACCTCAAAGCAGCGGCAGAAAAAAAAAAAAAATGATGGCTACGTTCGCCATCCCCAACGCAAGACCGCTGACGGTTGACCACTGCTATCAAGCGACAGTTTAGGTCCGTCGATAATGACTACACGATCTTTCAAACGGACGGAATATTTTTCGATTTCGGATGTGCCCTTCAGTTTGCCTGGCCGGCCAGCGGCGTGACCTAGAAGAAAAGAGCCCATGGCATCCGCCGTCGTGCTTATGATTTTTTTTTTTCGCTTTTACGTTTCCCCGTAAACTCCGCGCCTGCCAGAATCTCGCCGTCTCAGCCGACATCTTGGGCGACGAAATTCGCGCAGCGCCGAGGTACACGCACGCACTTTCGCACGGACGTGTGGCACAGAGGTGCCGAAGAAGCTTTAGCTAGTTGCGATCAAGTTGCGATCGGCATCGGCGACTGCGGACACCGTTAGGCCTAGGCGGCCCATAGCATACATACACAGCGTACGAGAGCGTACGCAACACACACACGGATTCATGGCGCAAGGCGAACATGTCGAACGTTTTACGTACCATTGCAAACTTGTCAGGCTCGCGGGCGTCGAAGACGCCCGCCGGATCAGTTCCCGGTCCTAGGTAGACGTCGTGCGCGACGAAAAAAACGCTAGAAATCGCCTCGAAACCTTCCCGAACGGCGACACACGGCTGCTCGTAGCATCGGAGAAACACCGCTCCCTCTCGCATCAACAACTTGTCCATGGCCTTATTCGCTATTGGCTCGCTCAGTGTCACGTGACCAACCCCGCGCCGTACGACGTTATGTGTTTGTGCGGTCCGTGCGTGCGTGCGTATTTTTCTGTAACGTTGTTGTCTACGTGCGTTTATTTGGTATACCGTTCGAGCCTGTTTGTGTACAGGCGTTGTAACTGTTTCACGTTTCAAGCGTGAGCATCAGCCATCCTTGTAACGTTTCGCGATCGTGACTATTTGCAAAGCAAAATGCTCAGTCGTTTTCGGTTTAGTAACGACATTCCTAACCAAAGCGTAAACTCAGAACTAAGGTATGCGTCAGGAAGCCTCTAGGAACGCTTTCACGTGTCGTTACACAATCTGAAAGTTACAAGTACAGTCGCGAAAGTAGCGAAAAGGAGTAGTTGTGTTGTTTTTTATTATTTCAGCTGATCTACAGCTGACGCCAGGTACGCGAAGTGGCGACGCGGCACACTTACCACATGCAGAAACGCCAAAAAATATGTTGACAAAAAAATTAAGTTTTCGCAATAAGTAAGCTGAGCTTGGTTTTGTTGTCATTTTCAAGGTTGAAAGTAACAGTTGGTTAAATTTAGTATTTCAAATTAAATCGCCTTTTGCAATACCACAGTATGAAGACTAGTAGACTTCTAGCGGCAATAATCAGTAACAATGCAACTTTACAATTAAAAAAGTATTAATAAAAAACACTATTTCATTTGAACGTTTAATACGCCAAGTAAAAAATACGCCCTACGTGATCATAGTTTCTTGATCTAAAAATTTTTGTTCATTAAAAAAAAGAGTTTGGGACCTGTTCGTTATTATTTCAAGCCAGTGAAAGCCAGTCACAAGTCATACTGCGATTGTGTTCATGGGGCGAGCTTTGAAATAGTACTTGTGCGAGCTTGTACACTCTAGTGCGAGTGACGCATAATTGAAAAAAAAACTGATGCACCTAAAGGACATCGCGTCAGCATGACAATACTTCGCGTCGGACTCTGCCCGGAGTTGACGGCGCCAGTGGTCGACAAGCTGCGGGCCTGCGGCGTGAGGACCGTGCTCGAATACCTATCGTCGGAACGCGAAGCGCTGGCCGAGCGCGCTGGTCTCGCCTACGGGGACGTGATCCGGCTTCGCCGTTCGCTGCAGGCCATTTACGCTCCCAAGCTCTGCACTGGGGTCGAACTGTACGAGCGGCTATTGGAAAGCACTGCCATCTTCAGCACGGGTAGTGCGAACGTCGACAACGCCGTGGGAGGCGGCGTGTACACCGGACGCGTCACTGAGATCGTAGGCGCCGGCAACAGCGGCAAAACCCAGTTGTGCCACAGCCTTGCCGCAAATGTAGCTATCGCCAGCCACTTTGGCGCCCTCTACGTGGACACACTGAGCTGTTTCTCACCCGAAAGATTGCGTCAGATTGTGACGTCACTCTCAGTGACCGGAAGTGGGAGTGACGTTAGAACCGAAGCCGTCCTGTGCAAGGTGAGGCACGTTACTGCGTGCGACTTGCTTCAGGTGGTTCAGGTCGTGGACCAACTGAGGGACTCGCTGTGCTCAGCACGATACAAGGACGACTCCTTGCTGAAGGTCAAGATGATCATCATCGATTCCCTGACGGAGGCCGCATCCCCCGTCCTTGACGGGAGACCAGTACGTGGGCGGTTTGTCTCTGATGGCCCACCTCTGTGATGCCTTACAGTACCTTGGCGGCGAGGTTCAGGATAGCCGTCGTGGTCACCAACGACTTCGTAGCCGGTGAAGGCGGTGTCATGAAACCAGCCCTCGGGGCGCTATTGGGAGCATGTGCCCTCTGTTTCACTAGAGCTAAACTTGCTTGGTGACCTATTTGAGTCCAGCGAAATGCGAGAGCTGAGAGTGGTCAAGAGCCCCGATGTCGGCGTTCTGGGAAGAGTTGTAAAGTTCAGGATCGCCCCCAAAGGAATCACAACTGCAGCTGCGAACTCCTGATATTCTTCACTGTTTACTTTATCGATTTGTCCACCGGTGTGAAATCCTTCATCATGGACGAAAGTGAGGCATGTTAGCACGGACACGAGAGGAAAGACCTGGATGCTCTTTGGCCACATGAATTTGGTGCATGTTGACGAGCACCACTCTGAGTTGGAAGATGAGAGAGTGGGTTCTTTCTCACATTCAGTAACCTTTATTGCAGGTGCAATCTCCTCGTCATCTTATTTCTTCATAAAATATGGGTAAAATATCTGCATAAAGCATTGAGCCTATTCATATTTCATACTTTTCAGCTGTACGCCGTTCCCTCCACTTGCAAAGTCTAAAATGCACAATACCAAATGAAATCAATTGACTGTGCACAATAGTCATGGAATACAAAGCATAATGGGCATGCACCTGCTTGTTAAAGCAGGGTAAAAAAGAATCAGCAAGAGACATCATGCATGTATTGACCACTAAAGAGATTATTTTCTCACGAAATAATAAGAACAAACTGCTGGCATCACTGAATTGTGTCGCAAAGATTGGAAGTGCTCTGAGAAAGCAATGCACTCTTTTTTGTTGTTGTAAGGAGGAAGAAAAACAGTACATTGTAGTGAGCCCTTGGCCAGCAGCATCTGGATGCCCAGACGCTTCTGAGTTCAGTCCTGTTTCTGAAATTGTGCGGCGTGGTGGAGGGTGCCGTCAGTTTGGTTTGCTTCATTCACATCAGACAGACAAGCCCTTGAAAAAGAATGCCATGACTGCGACCAGCAAGTCCAAAGTTTTGCCGTAGGTTTGCTCGTCTGGCTTCGACTGCCGTTCCGCTCTCCTGGCCTGTCCTCCAAGTTTGCCCCAAAGTATTGCGGTCCTGGAACGTCGCTTTCATACAACATATGTGATCGAGCCAGTCAAGCCACCCACAGACAAGCGCCGCATTGTTTGCGAGACAGTGCACATTAGTCGCCTCAAGCCATATTACGAGCCCTTCCTTCTTTCATCACATTCACTCGCCAGGATAGCTTCCGTTTGTCGCCGGGGTGTGTTAAGGAGAAAGAAGAACAATATGCCGTGTTGCGCCATGTTTTACTCAGAAGCGCCGAGCGCGAGCTGTTTGCCTCAGTGCTGCGATTCCTGTGTTGGTTGTCGCCGCCCGCTTTCAGTGTCGATAGAACTGCTGTGCAGGTGATACTTATGCCAGTAAACCCCATTTATTGTATTTTTAAGATTTGTTTAGGGACTGTTTAAGAAAACCCAGATGGTTATAATAAACCCCCACTGCACCATCCCTCATAGCGATATCGGGGTCTTGGTATATGCCGCACTTCAATGACATGCTTATGTACTGTTAACAAATGACTGTGCCGAGGTGCAAACAGTATTTAATGACAGCACACAGTGTGCAAATTCTACTCAGAAATGTTGATGAAGACAAAGTTGGTGTTTGCCAAGGGGAAAATGACAAAGCAAGTTGTTAAGTCAAGGTATGTGTCCAATGTAGCGAAAGCGTTTAATCATATTGATACCATTTTGCCAATGTTACACATGAAAACTGGTAAAGAATAAGCATGTACTCACAGAGATGAGGGATGAGGCAAATATTTGAAAACTTCCGGAAAACAAAACAGATTGGATATTTCCTTGTGTTCCATTAAATGTCCTTAAGTAATATTCTCTGTACAAGTCTGCCAGCATAATTTATAGAACTGATTGACAGAGTGTAAGTTCAACCACTGATAATTCTGTGCGTGGCAAAAGTTTTATGCACTGTATTTGATGAACACCTACGAAACTACTCCGGACACATTAAGGAAAGGTTGAAGACCCTAGAATGATGCAAGAAAAGTACTGTCATGAAAAAAATATATATATATAATTCTGGTGCTATTCAACTTCTCATAACACAAACTTTCTTGCGATTAGTTGAAGCTACAAAAGATGCTGACTTGCTCACCTTGTTTGCTATGCCAGACTGTATCAGATAGTCATAGGTTATGCACTCAAATACTATAATCTCAAACAACACGTCTTTCAGTATATCTAGTGCTTGTTGTAAACATACTTACTGTTACACTAATGACAGCGAGACAGTATTTGCTCTTTTTGTTGCATCTAATAATTTATCTTTATTTTTAAATAATGAGGTTCAACTATATGTCAACTAAAGTGGCCACACCTGCCAGCTCAGTACGCTTTATGCATTCTTTTATTTGAAATATTTGTCTAACCAGCCTTCGGCAGGTGGTAGTTAGGCGTTATAAAGATCCTTCTTATGTGGACCAATCACACAACTGATGCACTACATGCCGCGAAATTGTATGAGCCACTTGTCACAACTTTTAGAAGTTGTAGGGAGTCTGCTTGGGTCACTTGCTTCTGCAAAAAAAAGCAGCTGTTACTGGCTGCTTTTAGCAAAGGCCTACAGCACAGGCTGTATTGCAGTGCCACAACATAGCCTTTCACTACTTTGCTAATGTACTAATGACACAGGCGGGAACGCCAGCGAAAGAAGAGAAGGAAGAGTGCTGTTGCTTCTCGCGCTTGCTGGCGTTCCTGCCTGTGTCATATATAAATGCTACATCACTGATGCATAAAGTTCCATGGCACTCTGTTGGGCAACCAGAGCTAGTAAGTTTAAAGGGCGTACGTTAGTTAAGGAGGTTGTACTTGGTATGTACCCTCATCTACATTTTATACATGCCAACGGCGACTCAGTCAGCATTCAAGAAAACCCGATATGTTTTTTTCGTTTTTACTGTGCTCTGCTAGTTTGGCAACTAAAGCATATAGTACAGTAGTTTACACAACTACACCTTCCCCCGCCTCACTTAGAATATCGCTCATCAAGCAAGCAAACAAAAGTAAACACCATACTTAAAACGGCATTCCATAAAAAATGTTTATTGCTGAAAAATTAAGACCTGGGACAATGAACTGTTTGATATTGCATATTTGCCTTTTTTCTTAATTCAATTTGAATTAAGGAAAAAGCGGATACTGCTAGTATGCAGTACCTTGGTCACGTTTATTAGTCTCACATTGTGCAACGGGAGAGTGTTATTGAGAATTATTAAAGCTTTTTTGCTCGCATTGGCCAGTAGAGCACAAGAACTCTTTACATGTGAATAAAAATTGCTCATGTGCTTAGAACAAAATGTGAGCAACCTGGGGAACTGGCATCTGGGAGATATATATGCCACTTTGCCCATGTATATTTAGAAAATGTAGTTAACGATTTAGAGTACTTGGTACTCTACTATGGGAGAGCATAAAGCCGTCCCGTGGGAACGCACAAGTAAGGCCAGCCTCAGTGCACAACACTAAGCATACAACCAAGAAGGTCAACCCTGGTTACTCCTGTAGCTTTCACTTCACACTTTCAAGAATGTTGTTCTATTTCGATAAGCTTGAATAAATTTTCATGAAACATTTCTTTTGCTGCACGTGCATTTTAAGAAGGTGTAATCCGAATGACAAGAATGCCGAATACAACCATAGAAAATTATCCCCCGAGCTCTGAATTAAAAACTTCTTCATGAAGTGAAAGTGAATTGTGTAGTTTGGGAGTAGCCCAGTTTGTGCATGGATTTTAACTTGTGTACCAATTTTCTATATATTTTTGTTTGTGATGATAGCTTCAAATTGGAGACAACTGGAAATCTTGTATCAACTATGACACTTGAAAATTTATAATAGCGAGTAGGGATGGGCGATTCGTAAACTTGAGGTTTGAAGGGAGTAATAATTTCAATGAATAATTTCGATTTTTGAATAGTTTAAATAGTATATAACATGTATTATAAAGAAAAATGACCATTTTTGTTATAAACCAAGAACTTGAGTATACTTAGGAATTTGAAGAAGGCATGTGTTAGTGTCACAATTTTTAAATGGAGGTACTTTAAATAGCGGCAGGATTTGAATAGTATAGGTCCAAGTTATAAGTGATAAGTACATCAACATTTTAAAATTTGCTATACTTGGTGCATGTGAGCCTTTTTAAGCCTGTTTCAAAACTCAAAATTGCCAGACGTATGCGGCAGGCGCAGAACAGTCACAGCGAAAACTAGAAGAGCGGCCTTTCAGAGCTTTTTCAAAACACTCATTGGGTAACTGCTGCAAGCAGAGTTGTTTTATACCCACTAGGGCATTCGTAATAAACATTTGGGTAGTAGGCTGGCATTCGCTATGCTGTTCTTCGTCATTCTTCTGAGAAGCGTTGTATCCGCTAAACACTTGCAAGGAATTTTATGCCAATTGTTCATGCAGTGGCCGGCGATGATGAGGAATCACGGCTGAAGTGGGTACAGTTAATATGGGAAGAGAACAAGCTTTCGTAATGGGTTGGGGCATTGGACGACCCATTCGTTATGCTAGTTACACTATTCGCATTGTGCGACGAGTGGTTGTTCTTTCACTGTTTTAAAACGCTTTATAACTCGTATTGACGTGGCCCCGCCGCGGTGGTCTAGTGGCTAAGGTACTCGGCTGCTGACCCGCAGGTCGCGGGTTCGATTCCCGGCTGCGGCGGCTGCATTTCCGATGGAGGCGGAAATGTTGTAGGCCCGTGTACTCAGATTTGGGTGCACGTTAAAGAACCCCAGGTGGTCAAAATTTCCGGAGCCCTCCACTACGGCGTCTCTCATAATCAAATGGTGGTTTTGGGACGTTAAACCCCACAAATCAATCAATCAATCGTATTGACGTGATTTCCCAACATCAAGCCTGCCTAAGGCAAGTTTGCCAACTCGTCACAAGCACTAGCGTAGCTCAGTGGTTCAATACTGGGCTGGCACTCGGCAGACCCGGGTTCAGCGCCCTATGTGTCTTTGGTGCTAGTTTTTTTTTTCTAATTTTGCGCGATGTGGTTTCGGCGGCAGCGGCGGACAATTGCACGTAACCCGAGTTGTGATCTCATAACAGCTTTCGCTGCAAAAAGAAATTGTTCGAAGTGCGTCAGATATTGCGCACATTTAAACTACGAAGTGTGGCTTTGCTGCAGTAGAAAATTTTTTGAGAAAAGTGGCTTCACGGCATAATAGTGCATGCTGCAGTGAGACAATCTTTTCAGGGGTTTACACGCAGTCGAAAAGAAGTACATCCGTTCATTTTAAATACTTCAAAATTCGGACTAATTCAAATTCCTGTCGAAGTGAATTCGGAAACCGTAATATTCCCAGGAATATTCAAAGCACTCCGATTATTCAACCATCCCAAATGAAAATCTTCAATATAACGAAATTCTTGATATAACGAAGTATTTCATTTTTCACAACTTCATGCACATGGAACGTTTTGTATCTCGAGACTGAACACATGTATAATCATAATTGCTGGGATTTGACGTCTTAAAACTCTGATGATATTATGAGATATGCCGTAGTGGAGGGCCCCGAAAATTTTGAGCACCTGGCTTTCTTGAACGTGCAGCTAAATGTAAGTGCACGCTCCTAAAGCATTTTCGCCCTCATCGAAAATGCGGCTGGGATGTGATCCCGCATCCTTCAGGTCAGATTTCGAGCACCATAATCACTAGACCGCTGTGGTGGGTCTCAATTAATGCATACATCAGAAAGCGTGTGTGTCTGTGAATTCGAACTAATGAAGTTTCAGTGCTGCTTCAGAAGGGGAGCAAGGCAATAAGTGAAAAAGTCGGCTGGAGTCAGTGGCGACATGGCTGACTTGCACGTACGTGGTTTGTGCCATTACTACGGAACGTTGGACCTGAATTAGTTTTTCGTTTCACGCGTGGCGTTTGACCGCTGACGGGGAAGAGGACTTCTTCGCCGGCGCAGCGTTGAGCAGTGGTCTCCGGATCGGAGGTTAAAAGATCTGTCTGTCTGCCCGTCCGTCCGTCTGTCTGCCTGTCTGTCGAAACAATTGAGTTACTCAGCCAAAGTTTAAGCACTTGCTCAACGGCCAGCCATGTCGAACTGTTGGCTGCGTTCGTACATGCGAACATTGTCTATCAAAAAGCAAATATTACGCATATGTGAGGCGCAACATGAATACGTAAGTATTAGGTGGTGCGCTCCTTTATTAGAAAATACGTAGATACGCAATTCCAAAGACCCCAGTGTTTTTTAGGCTGCACTGAAAATGCGATTCTATGGACGACAAAGTCCTTTGCCGATGATATGGTGCTGTCACAGTGGCCCATATGGACAGTGTTCCTGGATAATTATTCGCAAGCTTATATGTTCCACGACGCCACTGCCAGATATGGACCTGACGTGCATGTCCATAACCTACGCCGTGCCACCTCACACGGATGAGTCCTAGATTCATGTAGTACGGCCGACAAAAGACTACCGTCTTTCGACGACGAAACACGCAGAGACACGGCCATTTTTCTTTCCATAGCGACGCCGCCACGGTGTCCTTGCTGGCTGCTCCAACTCTGACACCGCCATTGCCGCCAAGAAAAGAAGCCGTTGGCGAACATATTATGCACGAAAGGTTGACCTTGAATTTATTTAAGTTTTGATACAGCGTACTGCCGATTTCACCAACTTCGTTATACCGATGTTTGGTGGTATAACGTACGCTTTTGTATAACCCGGAAACAACGACAGTAAAATCAAAGGATGGAAGACCATGTCACTGTAAACGAGCACGCC